AATTAAAACGCGCGTTATCTTAAAACTCAGTTGTACATTTAATATTTTGTTAATTACTATATTAAGCTGTTATGTAATGCGTATTTGTTTTTACAATTATATACACCTCAAGGCGAGCGTACTATGTTTAAAATAAATAAACGCATCCATACCAAATTCGATGACGCAAGTCTACATAAATACCAGACAGAAGGTATGGAGGTTATTATAATTTGACAGTATTGTAGCTGTTAATGTAATTTGTTACATCGTTGCCTTCTTAAGCAACATCTGGCACCAGTTTAGCGTAAAAATATTGCAACGACGCTACATATTAACTCTTCAACACATACATATAATAAAGAAGTTTTGGTTATCAAAAAGAAAGAAAAGACATGCAAGTTTAGAGGTCAAATGATAAAAAAACAGAAAACAGCAGCAGTTAAATGAAAATGTTCACTTAAAACTACACCATACACTAAATTTTTTCACACATCCATCCTATTTTAAAGTTAAATAGTCTTTTATGTAAATTATATAACAACTTTCTCTCCTAGACGACTAGACTAGAGAACAAAATGAAAGGAAAAACAGCGAAATATACTTTTAAATGACCTCGACATTGTAGAAATAGAGGACTTGTTTACAAAACTAGTAAAACTTCAGTTTATTATACACTTTTGTTATTATCGATCTTCCCTTTCGGTTCCCAAGGGGTAGAAGTGACCATCACCTTTACAAGTAATTTCTTGCATAATGCATAATCTGTTTTAGATAGCTTGATTTATTTGAAACAAATTTAATCTCTACTATTTTTGGGCCATAGTGAATTCAGGATTTTGCTCCGCAGTAGAGCTTTTATTACAATAAAAATATCGTATCCAACACTTGTATATATACTATTAGTCTAATCAATATGTCACCGCCTTATGTTAAATTTACAAAAAATACCACCTGGAAACAAAAAATATGGTCATATAGGAAAAGAAATTGTAAGAAAGACAGTGTATTTTTCCTGTGGCGCATAAACTGCGAAGTTAACCTAAAAAATTCATAAAAGTGAAAAAACGGGTTTTCGCTAATAAAAAAAACTTGAACTACTATCGAAAAAAGTTAAATGAGAAAGTTGTAGCTATTAAAAAAAACCTATCGATTCGTAGTTTTAAATATATCGATTGCTATATTACATTTCGAGATATATTGAAAAAACCGTCAAAAATCGACTTTTTTTGTTTTTGCTGTATCTCTAAATGTAGCCATTGGCAAGCAAAAAAGTACCTTTTTAAAATTTTCTTCTTCCATGGTTTCGTTTCCTATATTTTCCACGCAATCAATTTCATTTTCCACATAATTCGTTGCATCAATGAGTGATTCACACGTGTCAAAAGAATCATCGTCTAATTGGATGTTTGAAGTTTAAAAATTTTCACATTGGGATGCATCACAATGTAAACAAATACTTGTATATTTCAAAATTTTTTTTTACAGCCACATAAGTATTTTATTTTTGCAACCGCTGACTTATGCTTCTGAGGCTGTCGTAAACGTCATATTTTGATTTATCTCGTCGAGTATTTTTTTATTGAACATATAAGTCTTCAACTTCAATCTCTGTAAGAATGGACGTTGTAGCACTTAAATAGCAGCCTGTGGAATTTTTTGAAAAAAAAAACAAAATTATCTCACCTCCAGAAGGTCGTAGAGCAACATTTTTTTTTAAATCGCCTAAAAATTCCAGCAATCGATTCCTGTAACAGACATTATCGAGAAATGAAAATCGAATATTCAAGAAAAACGCAACCAAAAAATGTTTTCTTTTTTCAAAGTCATTTTTGGGCACTTGAAATGAATAAAATCGTTATCACTCTTTTTTACCATGATGGTACAACTCTTAAGGAAAATGAGCCTTGATTCGTTTCTCTACGACTATTCGTCGAGCAAAAATAGCCGATTTTCGAGATGACCTTTTTTTCGAAAAATCGTTCTCAAAAATTTTTTAATTTAAAAAAAGCTACTTTTTTGCTTGCCGAGGGCTACATTTACAACAAGTAACAAGTTTCAAAGTCTTAATTTGCAAGAGATACCCCAAAAACAAAAAAGTCGACTTTTAACGGTTATTTCGATATATCTCGAAAAGCAATCGATATATTTAAAAATACGAATCGATAGGTTTTTTTAATAGCTACAACTTTCTCATTTAACTTTTTTCGGTTGGAGTTCAAGTTTTTTTTTATTAGCGAAAAACCGTTTTTTTGACTTTTATGAATTTTTAGGTTAACTTTGTCGTTCACGCGCCACAGGAAAAATACACTATCTTTCTTAGATTTTTTTCCTATCTATATTTTTTGTTTCCAGGTGGTATTTTTTGTAAGCTCTTCTACCTATTGATTCTTTGGTTTTAAAGGAATAATGTGACCTATAAGTCACTAGTGAGTTATAAGTCATAAGTCACTTTAAGTCACGTTATGACTTATAACCCGCCAGTGACTTATAGAAATAATAAAAACACAAATTTATTTTTCTAGTTTTTATTAGAAAAGCAATTTGAAACAGTAATAAGTCAACAAATAACCTAAAATGCTACAAACATACAATCTACCTACTTATTAATAGTAACATTAACATTTATGGTAAAGCCGTAATTTGAAGCCAAAGGATTATTGGAATCATTTTTTGATTGTGGTAAATTTATAGAACAGGTTGCTCCTTTGCTTGTGCTTGCTTCAGGAGTCGGCATCCCTTGTATCTTTTTAGCAATATCAATTTTGCTGGAAATTGACTCCTCTATATAGCCTTCCGCCACGGTAGATGACTTCCATCCACCGTGCGTTTGAGTGTTGTAATATCCCCTCCAGCATTGGCCAAGAGAGTTGCAGATGCGCGACGCAAGCCATGCCCTGTATATAAATTAGAATCTGTCAAGCCCAAAAATCGTGCAACAACATTAGGGATTTTTGATAGTTTATTAATACCAACACAATGACGTGTTCATTTTCCCCCGTTTGAAAATTGCAAAAGAACCTTTTATGCTGCACATTTTGAGGCCTTACCTTAGAATATTTTCTAATTCAATTGGATTAACACAAAATGATCCATTTAACACGGTCTACGCTTATTGTTAGATGGGCCAATTCAACGGCAAGCGCCAAAAACTCCTAATATCAACGCCACATAAAAACAACAAATTTAATAAATATTAACTCAGTTAAACTATTCAGTAGAACCTACCTTATTCTTAAAGATGATCTTCGTCTAGAGCTTCACGCAAAAATTGTTCTCTTTCTAAGACCTCAGATTTTTTTGGTTGAACATGTTTGTGCTTAGACTAGAAGTGCCACTAGTCTTTCGAATTTAGAAATTTCAATGTTCTTGTAAACTCTCAAAGTTGACTTCAACATGAAATATTAAGTCCACAATGTGGATGGAGCTTAATTTCTCACTTAAATTGAAAAAATTAGCCAGCAAGACATCTTCATTTACGCCTTTCACCCCTTCTTTGATTTTCCAACCTTGAAATTCCTTCAGTTCTTTGTTGTATACAGGGTGTTAATTAAGTATGTACAATAAATTCAACAGACGACTATTTGAGTGATTTTAAGACGAAATGTTCATATAAACATTGGTCTGCAGATACTTCGTTTTCAAGATACAGGGTGTTAAACTTTTGTAAAAAAATTGCTATTTCGTAAATATCTTAAATACCATTTCCTCAATTTTGTTGTAATTTGGCAGTGTTATTTGTACTTTGTTATTTAGATGTTACATGTTATTAATAAAAAATTATAAAAAAATTATAATTTCCAAAATAAACTTTTCCCCATGTTTCTTGTGCGGTCCAGGGATATGCAATTAAGTGGATTTTTCTTTCTATAAAAATTAATCACGATACGAAAAACATTCAAGAGGCAAAAGGTTGTATTTTTAGTTGATTAATTAAAAAAATATATAAAAATTACAAAAAAGTCAGTGGCGTAAATTTTTTTGTCAAAAATTTTCGTTAAGGTACCGCTCCGGACGCCACTGGGCTTAATAAATCTAATCAAGTTAGGGTTAAATTAGCCCCTTAACACTACAAATAACATTGCCAAATTACAACAAAATTGGGTAAAGAGTATTTAATATATTTACAAAATAGCAATTTTTTTACAAAAGTTTAACACCCTGTATGTTCAAAACGAAGCATCTGCGGACCAATGTTTATATGAACTTTTTGTCTTAAAATCACTCAAATAATCGTCTGTTGAATTTATTGTACATAATTAATGAACACCCTGTATAGATTTTGATTTCTCCGGAATGATGCCTGCAGTAGTCCCATTAGCTTTTTCTAAAATTTCAGATAGAATGTCCACATTTTTCATTTTTTCAGTCTTGGTTGTAGGATTTCAACGTAATTTCAACTCAAAAAATATTGTTTGTTTACTGACAACCCTTGGTTACAGACACAATTTAGGTTGACACTTGCATTCTTTGTAATATTTAAAAATACATTCATTTCGTTCAATTACTTTTTCTGACATTGACAACTTGAAATTTTAAGTTACTTTTATTTATTATTAAAACGAAATTCTATTAAAGTGTTGGATAAAATTTTGTATGGCACTCGTGTGTTACGTCATATAAGTCATATAAGTCACTTGGGCTAAACATTTCCCAGCGTGACATATATTCCTACCGTAACACACTATTACCATAAATAACTATGAACTGAATTGAATGAAGCATTAATAACAAAGGAAAAACCATATGTTGGAAATGACCAATTCCCACCATTACCCAAAACTCCTTGTTGTCGGAAAATTTATCCAAGTATCGGATTAACAATTCCTTGTGAATTTTGAATTACCACATATGAATCAATAATCCTGTTTCCCAATTTTTTTTCGCTCCTGTATAGTATTTGTTTATATAAAAATAATTTGATATATATTATGTAATTTACGATTCTATACAAAGTGCCAAATTTTAGCGATATCAATATCTTTTAATAAATTAAATTAATAACAATCTTTTGTTTTCAGATTCAGTACTGCAATGCAGACATAGAAGAATGCTGCCGCCTAACGAACGCCCCTGGCCACGTTGCCCTACCTAACATTTCTGAAAAATCTAGTCTGGCTGCTAATATCAACGGCCTAGCTGACATCACAGCAGGAAAAAGTTCTGTTACCGGCTCTAGTTTCAAATTCTCTGGTGGGGCTGGATCGTCACCCGGCCAAATTCAGGTGAGTCAGCAAGTAAATAGACTTGTCAACACAAATAATTTGCTTTTGTTGCGTATGCAGGTGATCATCGACGATTCTAGTGCTGTTAAACCCCAGGTTTCCCACAATGGCGAAAGCGGATCTCAGCCAAGTGCGAGTACAAATAAGGCAACTAGAGACGTTACTCCAAGTGCTGCTTCTGTATTTCCAAGCACTATAGATTACAGCGGTGTTCAAATATCAAACGACATAAGATTTGCTTCGACAATTAAAGGACCAGCTTACCTCCCACCAATCGGTAAGTTTTTTAGTACAATAATAAGACAATTTGCAAGAGTTGATGTACTTTGAAAGAGAAGTGTATTAAGTTTTGATCTTTTCAGGTCCAACTCCACCATCAACCACGCCCGAATTGGTAGTTCCAACACATCCGAGCATAATAACCTATCAACCTTCTGTTCCAACTTCTCCGCGTCCCATACCAACTGTAGGACCTGCTTGTCCACTTGGAACCATTTTAACACCTTCCGGAACATGTGAAACTCCTAGCGTTCCAATTCCGCAATGTCCGTTTGGCACAGTCAGGACCCCTAGTGGTATTTGCGAAACGCCAATAACATCTACAACTCCTGTATCATGCCCATTTGGTACAATATTAACACCTGATGGTAATTGTGCAAGACTAAGCCCTCCGCCAAGCCCTCCACCAAGCCCTAGACCATGTCCTCCAGGAACATTCCTACGACCTTCTGGATTATGCGAAGCCCCAGGCCAGAGTTGTCCACTTGGTACTATACAGAGACCTGATGGTAGTTGCGAAAGACTTACTCCCCCACCACCTCCCAGAGTTTGCCCATATGGAGCGTTACCTGATGGTAGCTGCATAACGCCTAGTAGCCCTCCACCAAGTCCCAGACCATGTCCAGCCGGAACATTTTTAACAGTTTCTGGAACGTGTGAAACTCCCAGGCCGGTATCAACTTCACCGCCATGTCCACCCGGAACAATTTTAACATCCTCAGGACTATGCGAGGCTCCTATAACCCCGACCCCAAGACCAGTCTGTCCCCCGGGTACAATTCAGGGACCTTCAGGTATATGTGAACAACCTGTACCAATTACGTTGTCTACGACTCCTGGTTACGATTATTCACCATCACCGTGCCCCCCTGGAACCTTTAGATCCCCTACAGGTTTATGCGAAACGCTTACCATTACAACTGCAAGACCCCAATGTCCACCAGGCACTTATCTAACCCTTTCTGGAAGTTGCGAGACACTGAGACTGCCGACCTCTAAACCTCCGCCACGACCATTCGAACCAACAGCCAGCAGAGAATATCTCCCACCTGTGACCCCAACGCAGTATGTACCTTCAGTCACCCAAAAACCATATCAACCATCAGTAACAACTGAGAAACCATCTGTCACACAAAAACCACGAGTTACACCACTCAGTCCATTTAAACCATCAATAACACCTGCTAGACCATTCCAACCATCTGTCACTCCACAAATACCAATAGAAACCACTCAAAGACCATACTATCCACAATCTACTACACCTAAACCGTTTCATCCATCAATAACTACACAAAGGCCGTATCAACCATCCTCCCCAAAATCTCATCCATTTTTAACTACGCAAAAAGAGACGTCCTCCATAGTTTGTTCATTAGGGCAAGTACCGTCTCCGTCAGGCTATGGATGCATTTACCCTTCTAGTACACCTAGACCATCTCAACCGCCAATTACTACTTTACGACCATATCAAACATCCTCCCCAAGACCTAGCCCATTCCTAACCACTCAAAAAGAATTTACTGCCTCAGGAGAATGTTCTCAGGGACAAGTACCATCTCCAACAGGTTACGGATGTGTGTATCCTTCTGGTTCATCTAGACCACCTTTTTCACAAGGTACTACATCTAGACCGTTTGAGCCATCTGTTACAACATTAAGACCATATCAACCATCTTCCCCAAAACCAAACCCATTTTTAACAACTCAAAAAGTATTTACACCTGTTACAGCGTGTTCGGAAGGACAAGTGCCATCCTCCACAGGTTACGGATGTATCTATCCTACAACGTCTAAATCTAGCGCATGTTTACCTGGCCAAAAATTATCTCCTTCTGGTATATGTCAGTATATTTCTTCAACGCCAGGTTATGAGTATCCTAAACCGACAACACCATCTTTTCCTCCCTCTTCACAACCCTCGTGTGGGTTTGGTCAAGTATTGTCTCCTTCTGGGTCTTGTGTCTATAGTTCACAACCTCCTCCAAGACATCCAACGTCCGGCAAACCGTCGTGTGCATTTGGCCAAGTCTTAACTCCTTCGGGAGCATGTATTTATCCCACAACACCAACCCCTACAGGTTCTCCATCATCCCGTCAACCGTATTGCGCATCTGGCCAAATTCTATCTTCTTCCGGAACTTGTATTTATCCTTCACAATCTACACCTAGACCTAGTCAGATTACGTCGAGACCAGTATGCGCGTCAGGTCAAATTCTATCGGCATCTGGTGAATGTAAATATTCGTCAAAATCACCTTCAGTCTCTTGCGGTCCAGGTCAACAATTATCACCTTCTGGTTTGTGTGAATTTATAACAACAACGGAGGGTTATACATACTCCCAACCAACGACATTCCGTCCAAAACCATCTTGCAAACCTGGACAGGTTCCTTCTCCTTCAGGATATGGATGTGTTTACCCATCACCTTCAAGCACATCTAAACCTATCACTTCTACGCCAGGATATGAGTATCCCAAGCCTACAACACTACTTTGTAGACCAGGAGAAATATTATCTTCAACAGGATCGTGTATTCCAGTTGGATCTACCCCAGGAAGACCTGCAGGTCCTGAACCATCATGTGGACCAGGACAGGTACCTAGGCCTTCTGGAATAGGTTGTGAATATCCCAAAACTCCTAAACCAGTGACACCATATTGCGGATCCGGACAAATATTATCTCCAACAGGTACGTGTATTCCAGCTGGATCTACTCCAGGAAGACCTACAGGTCCTGAATCATCATGTGGACCTGGACAGGTACCAAGGCCTTCTGGAATAGGTTGTGAATATTCCAAAACTCCTACGTCAGTAACACCATACTGTGGACCTGGACAGATATTATCTTCAACAGGCTCTTGCATTCCAGCTGGATCTACCCCAGGAAGACCTACAGGTCCAGAACCATCATGTGGACCAGGACAAGTACCTAGGCCTTCTGGAATAGGTTGTGAATATCCCAAAACTCCTAGACCAGTGACACCATATTGTGGACCTGGACAGGTATTATCTTCAACGGGATCGTGTATTCCAGCTGGATCTACCCCAGGAAGACCTACAGGTCTTGAACCATCATGTGGACCAGGACAGGTACCTAGGCCTTCTGGAATAGGTTGTGAATATCCTAAAACTCCCACACCAGTAACACCATACTGTGGACCTGGACAGATATTATCTTCAACAGGCTTATGCATTCCAGCTGGATCTACCCCAGGAAGACCTACGGGTCCTGAACTATCATGTGGGCCAGGACAGGTACCAAGGCCTTCTGGAATAGGTTGTGAATATCCCAAAACTCCTACGTCAGTAACACCATACTGTGGACCTGGACAGATATTATCATCAACAGGCTCCTGCATTCCAGCTGGGTCTACCCCAGGAAGACCTACGGGTCCTGAATCATCATGTGGACCAGGGCAGGTACCTAGGCCGTCTGGAATAGGTTGTGAATACCCCAAAACTCCTAAAGCATCAACACCGTTTTGCAAACCTGGACAAATCCTGTCTCCTTCCGGAATCTGTATTTATCATTCACAATCTACGCCTAGACCAGGACAGATTACATCAAGACCAGTATGTGCACCAGGTCAAATTTTGTCATCATCTGGTGAATGTAAATACTCTTCCTCAAAATCACCTCCAGTTTATTGTGCCCCTGGTCAGCAACTATCGTCTTCCGGTTCGTGTGAATATATAACTACAACGGAGGGTTACACATACACCCAACCAACAACATTCCGTCCAAAACCATCGTGCAAACCTGGACAAGTTCCTTCTCCTTCAGGGTATGGGTGCATTTATCCATCACCTTCTAGTACACCTAGACCCGTCACTTCTACGCTAGGATATGAATATCCGAAACCAACAACATCACTCTGTGGACCAGGGGAAATATTATCACCAAGAGGTTCCTGCGTACCAGCTGGGGCTACTACCCCAGGAAGACCTACAGGTCCTAAACCGTCATGTGGTCCAGGCCAGGTACCTAGACCTTCTGGAATAGGTTGTGAATATCCAAAAACTCCAAAACCAGCAACTGCATATTGTGGATCCGGACAAATATTATCTCCAACAGGTACGTGTATTCCAGCTGGAACTACTCCAGGAAGACCTATAGGTTCTGAACCATCATGTGGTCCAGGTCAAGTACCTAGACCTTCTGGAATAGGTTGTGAATATCCCAAAACTCCAAAACCAGCAACACCATATTGTGGACCTGGACAGACCTTATCTGCAACAGGTTCATGCACGTATTCAGGAGGAACTACACCAGGGCAGCCAGCTAGTGCTTGCGGTCCAGGTCAGGTACCTAGACTTTCAGGAATAGGTTGTGAATATTCCAAGACCCCAAAACCAACATTCCCTAGTTCAATAACTAAACCATCATGCCCGTTTGGCACCAAATTATCTCCAGTGACAAACGAATGTTTGACATCGCCAAGTACAATATCGCCTATACCAGGTATTTCGTCAACTCCGCAACCCTCATGTAGACCTGGACAAATACTATCTCCTACAGGTGTTTGTATTTATCCCTCATCTTCTTGTAGTCCAGGTCAAATAAAATCTCCCTCTGGGGCATGTGTTTATCCTTCTGATACAACTACACCAGCTCCGACTAGTATCACATCTGTATGTGGACCAGGACAAATATTATCTTCAGGCTCGTGCGTATATCCTTCTCAGACAACACCCACATTTCAACAAAAATGCAGACCTGGTCAGACACTATCTTCATCTGGTTATTGTACATCTGAACCTACAGGACCGCGACCTACATCTACACCAGCCTGTGCTCCCGGACAAATACCATCTTCCTCAGGTTTTGGATGCACATATCCATCGGGTATAACAAAAACTTGTCCATTCGGTTCAAAATTGTCACCTTCTGGTTCTTGCGAACCACCTCGGCCTACTGGAGGATACGATTACTCAAAACCCTCAACTCAAAGCTCCCCAAAACCTTGCCTAGCTGGTCAAGTTTTAGCTCCTTCAGGATATGGATGTATTTATCCGGAAAGCACGACTCAATCACCAGCGTGTCCTCGAGGACAGGTACCATCTAGTTCCGGTATAGGCTGTGAATATCCCAAAACACTAACACCAATAGAAGTAACTAAACCTTCGCAGTCTTGTCCATTTGGTACGAAATTGTCGCCTATTACTAATGAATGCATTACTAGTGGTTATGAGTATCCAAAACCCTCCACTCCTTTTATATCGGGATCGTCGACTACGTCAAGACCAGGGGGTCCAAGACAATGCCCTCAAGGACAAGTGTTGTCTGCTTCAGGTTCATGTATTTATTCTTCAATTTCTACACCATCTTGTGGTCCAGGTCAAATAGTATCTTCTGCTGGAGTCTGCACTTACCCCACAACTCAACCAAGTTACAAACCTTCGCAACCAGGCTTTTCAACGCCAAGTAGTAAACAGCCGTCTTGTAGACTTGGTCAAGTGTTATCTGATTCAGGAATATGCATCTATCCTGGACAACCAACCTCGACGCCAAGATATGATTATACACAAGCTATAACTACTTTTAAACCTAGTTTTCCATTTGAAATATCAACTTTAACACCAACATTAAAATGTGGGCCTGGGCAGGTACTGTCACCATCAGGAGTTTGTATTTCTTCTTCCATCCAGACAGACAGACCTCAACCAAGCGCAAGGCCGTCATGTCAGCCGGGTCAAGAATTATCCCAATCGGGAATATGCTACTATCCCTCAAGACCAACTTCACCAGCTATACCCGCAACTTCCAAAGGATATGATTTTCCGAGACCTACAACGCCCTTCGTACCAGGTTACACAACTGTACGACCCAGTAAGCAATGTGGACCAGGCCAAATTTTGTCCTCTTCAGGTGTTTGCACTTATCAGGTTACTAAACCTTCTACGCCTTTTGAACAGGGCTATCCAAGTCAAACAACTCCAAGACCTATTCCGGGAAGGCAATGTGGACCTAATCAAGTTTTGTCTCCAACAGGAGCCTGCATTTATTCTCCGACTGAGACGACCAAACCGCAGATTGGACCGAAACCATCCTGCAGACCAGGACAGAAGTTATCCGAATCGGGAGTATGCTATTATCCTTCGAGAACGACCCCTAAACCATCGTGTGGTGCAGGACAAATTCTATCTTTGTCCGGAGACTGTATTTATCCCCAACAACCTACGCTGCAGCCCATTCCAACGACAACTACAAGTTACACATTTGCAGATTGCGCACCTGGACAAGCTTTGTCTGCATCAGGTGAAGAATGTGTATATCAGACAACTAAACCTCGACCGACAGGTACAAAACCTTATCCTAAAAGACCCAGGCCATCTTGCGGGCCAGGACAAGTTCTTTACTCTAATGGATCATGTATTTATTCCTTACAGCCAACTTCACCGGGTATACCCACAACTTCTGGAGGATATGATTATTCGCGACCTACATCTTTAAGACCAAGCTACACAACTATTCGTCCCAGCACAGATAGAGTGTGTGGATCAGGACAAATTTTGTCTTCCTCCGGTGTTTGTATTTATGAGACAACTGGACCTCGACCAAGTCCAAAGCCTTCTTGTAGACCTGGTCAAGAGTTGTCCGAATCTGGAGTTTGCTTCTACCCCTCAAAATCAAGCCCTAAACCAAGTTGTGGACCAGGACAAGTACTTTCTGCTTCTGGATTGTGCACTAATCCGTTGCAACCAACTCCCGTCTTCACCTCCACGGTACCTACTCAAGGATATCCTAGACCTACAACATCTTTAATACCTGGTTACACAACTTTAAGACCCACAACAGTTAGAGAATGTGGTCCTAGACAAACTTTATCTTCTTCAGGAGTTTGCATTTATCAAATAACTAGACCAGGTTCGAAGCCAGCTTGTGGTCCAGGACAAGTACTTTCTGGTTCAGGATCTTGTATTTACCCCTTACAACCTACACAACCTATTCCTATTGCTCAAACAGGATACACATATCCAAAGCCTTCAACACCTTTTGAATCAGATTATCCAAGTCGCAAGACTGAAAGACCGAACATAATTAGACAGTGTGGACCTGGACAAGTCTTGTCATCATCAGGAATCTGTGTTCCTAGTTCCTCCACACCAAAGCCTGGGTCCAGACCTTCCTGTAGACCCGGACAAGAACTATCTGAATCCGGAATTTGCATATACCCTGCGAAACCAAGGCCTACAACACCTTCCATTTCAGAATACTCAGATCAGACAACTCTAGGACCCACAACAAGTAGAGGATGTGGACCGGGGCAGATTCTGTCCTCTTCCGGTGTTTGCACTTATCAGACAACTAGACCACAAGGTACAAAACCGTCTTGTAGCTCAGGTCAAGAATTGTCTGAATCTGGAGTTTGCTACTATCCCTCAAAGACAAGTCCCACGTCAGCCTGTGGTCCAGGACAAGTACTTTCCTCTTCTGGATTATGTACTTATCCTTTACGACCTACATCACAACCTGGTCTTACTGGTATACAATGCAGTTCTGGTCAAATTTTATCACCTTCTGGAGTTTGCATTTATTCTTCGACGTTAACGCCTACTTCATATCCTTCCGGGTCAACAGTTAAACCACCTCATGTAAAGCCTTGTGCTGCTGGTCAAACTTTATCTCCTTCTGGAACTTGCGTTTATCATCCTGGACCAACACCAACCGGTTACCCTTCGGTAACATGTGGGCCAAATCAGATACTATCACCTTCAGGAACATGTATTTACTCTTCTGGTTCTACACCACCACCTTATCCTGGTGCAAAACCTGCTTGTGGTGCTGGCCAGATTTTATCAACTTCAGGAATTTGTATTTATCCACCAGGACCTACGCCAACTCCTTATCCTGGTGCAAAACCTTCTTGTGCAACTGGCCAAGTTTTGTCTCCATCTGGAAGTTGTATTTATCCCCCAGGACCTACACCAACTCCTTATCCTAGTACAAAACCTATTTGTGGTACTGGCCAGATTTTATCACCTTCAGGAATTTGCATTTATTCCCCAGGACCTACACCAACTCCTTATCCTGGTGCAAAACCTTCTTGTGCAGCTGGTCAAGTTTTGTCTCCATCTGGAAGTTGTATTTATCCCCCAGGACCTACACCAACTCCTTATCCTGGTGCAAAACCTTCTTGTGAAGCTGGTCAGATTTTGTCTCCATCTGGAAGTTGCGTTTATCTTTCTGGGTCTACACCAACTTCTTATCCTGGGGCAAAACCTTCTTGTGGCGCCGATCGGATTTTGTCACCTTCAGGAACTTGTATATACCGTCCTGGACCCACACCAACACCTTATCCTGGTGTAAAACCTTCTTGCGGTGCTGGTCAGATATTGTCTCCATCTGGAAGTTGCACTTATCCTTCTGGGTCCACACCGACTTTTTATCCTGGTTCAAAACCTTCTTGTGGAGCAGGCCAGATTTTGTCATCTTCAGGAACTTGTATTTATCCATCAGGACCTACACCAACTCCTTATCTCGGTGCAAAACCTTGTGGAGATGGTCAGATTTTGTCGCCGTCAGGAACTTGTATTTATCCTTCTGGACCCACAACTCCTTATCCTGGAGCCAAACCTTCTTGTGGTACCGGTCAGATTTTGTCGTCATCAGGAACTTGTATATACTCTCCTGGACCCACAACAACTCCCTATCCTGGTGCAAAACCTTCTTGCGGAGCTGGTCAAGTTTTGTCTCCATCTGGAAGTTGTATTTATCCCCCAGGACCTACACCAACTCCTTATCCTGGTGCAAAACCTTCTTGTGCAGCTGGTCAGATTTTGTCTCCATCTGGAAGTTGCATTTATCCTTCTGGGTCTACACCAACTTCTTATCCTGGTGCAAAACCTTCTTGTGGCGCCGGTCAGATTTTGTCACCTTCTGGAACTTGTATTTATCTCTCAGGATCTACACCAACGTCCTATCCTTCAGTTACTTGTGGACCAAATCAAATATTATCACCTTCTGGATCATGTGTTTATTCCTCCAGTTCAACAGTTAAGCCGCTGCCTGGTGTAAAACCTTCTTGTGCTCCTGGACAGACTTTGTCTTCTTCTGGAAGTTGCATTTATCCTCCTGGACCAACATCAACTCCTTATCCTGGTGCAAAACCTTCTTGTGGAGCTGGTCAGATTTTGTCACCTTCAGGAACTTGTATATACCCTCCCGGACCCACACCAACACCTTATCCTGGTGCAAAACCATCTTGCAATGTTGGTCAGATTTTATCGCCTTCAGGAATTTGTGTTTACCCTCCTGCATCTACACCAACACCTTATCCTGGTGCAAAACCTTCTTGTGGACCTGGTCAAACTTTGTCTCCATCGGGAACTTGTATTTATCCTCCAGGACCTACACCAACTCCTTATCCCTCGACAAAATGCGGACCAAATCAAGAGCTATCACCTTCCGGATCTTGTATTTACTCCCCTCGTCCAACAGCTGGGCCACCCTCTAGCGAGAAACCTATTTGTAGGCCTGGCCAGACATTAAGTCCTTCTGGTAGATGTATTTCATCACCTCCTAGTATCCCTGAAACAACCTTACGTCCTAAACAGTGCCCTCCAGGCTCAAAGCCTTCGGCGTTTGGATCTGGTTGTGAATATCCTAGACCCACAACACCAAGAACTACCACAGAAACATTCACCGGCTATGACTATCCCAAACCAAATAAACCATTTGATCAAAAGCCTCAGTGTCCTCCAGGGCAAAGGTTAGGTCCCTCTGGTTTCTGTGAGCCAGGATCAGTATTAACTACTACTCCCACGTATGACTCTACTTCTAAATTTACTCCTGGCCGCTCTTGTCCACCTGGTAGTAACTTAGGTCCTTCGGGTACTTGTGAATTTACTCCTGATCGACCCTTTCCACCAAGACCAGATTCAGGTACTTGCCCTCCAGGTACTATAAAATCGCCCTCGGGATTATGTGAGAGCACTTTCCCACCTTCGGTAAAATGTCCTTTCGGTACGCGTCTAAGTCCTACGGGTTCTTGCGAAACCACATCAGGTACCCCTAGACCACCTATAGGTCCAGGTAAATCTTGTACACCTGGTACTTTTAAAACAAGTTCGGGTTTGTGCGAACGTCCGTCATCTCCCACCTTACCAACCCAAAGACCTTGCCCACCTGGAAGTTCACTATCACCATCAGGTAATTGCCAATACCCAGGTCCAACTCCTACCCCAGGCCGACCTACTGACACAGGTAACCAATTCACTCCGTCTTATCCCACAAAAAAACCTTACAGGCCAAGTTCACCCCCAACCAGTGGATATCACTATGAAACGCCCACGCCACCGTTCAGTTATCCCTCCAGTACTCTGATTCCCAATTCAAATAGCATCAACAACCAGTTTGTTCCTCCACAAACAACTCCTCAGTATTTGCGACCTGATATAGAAGGTAAAACGAATAATAAACAAATAATTTGAGTTGTAACTAATAACTGTCCCGTAGGATCAACCATTAGGGATGTTGTCCGATTTCCAGATAAACCCGATAATAAAGGAGAACCTGGTAACACCATAAATGTGTCCATTCCACCATCCAGACCGCCACCATCTAAGCAAGATCAGAACAATGAACCACCCATAGGTTGCGCTGCTGCCTTGAAGTGTGTACAAGAGATTTACTGTACCGCAGAAGGTGTAGTGTCTCCTGTACCGGTAGTTCTGACTAAAGATCAAGAATTACTTAGAGTTCCTACTACGGTATTTCCGATTTCTATTATTAATAGTTTCCAAATATTATTTGTTACACAAAGATTATATCAGTGTCATTATGTCGTGAATCAATATTAATAGCTGAACAATTTAGGGATGGTTGCTACGTCGTTGGTTTAGGCTTCTTGACGTTTGCTCTCTTCTTCAGAATAAACTCTGAATGTGGAGATCAAGTCCCCTGGTCGGTATTTATATTTGCTATGTGTACTAGTTCATGACTTCCTAGTGTATGGTTTGTATCCATTGACCCGTGGCGTTTTGGCTCTCGATTTTTACGGATGTGTCGAATTAATAGTGTTACTACAACACATCGAGGACTGCCTTTTCTAAGATGATCTGCAAGAACGATCTACTTCAAGGCTGCAATGTATATAGAATTCCCTGTACATGCAGAAAAATATACATTGGACAAATGAGATGACACGTCATGTTACAGGACCACAAGTGTCATTTGAAGAAAAATCAGCAGTCGCGGAACATAGAGCAGTTACCGGATACGCAATAGATCTGACTAAACCAGAAATCCACTGTGAGAGAGATTTTGGCCAAGATTCCACAGCAAGGCAATAGACGTCCAGAAGAGTCGAGATGATAAAGCTACCCGGAATTTGAAAATGACTCATCCACAAAAATCAAAAAGCAATACGACAGCGACCAATGGTTCAAGTCACACATCGGAACGCCATAGACGACTGCATACAACAAATATAAATACCAATCGGACAATTTAATCTCCTGAAATTTGTTCAGCCATTAACAACCGTCATAGTCCAGACGGTATCTGTTTCAAAAAGTCCATATTTAGGTGAATCGTATATCCACGAAGATTTTTGGCTTTTTGGCATTCAAATATCACTAGAAATGAAAATTTTTCTATGCGCATAAAAAAAACGTGGGCTTAACTTTTGGCGGCACAATATGTTTAAAAAATTCGAAAAATGTCATATTTTTCTTCCTATTTAATTATGTATCTTTTCTAGAATTGATTTTAGGCGAAAATGGAAAAGGAAAAAATGTTTGTAATTAATTTTTTTACAAAATCGAATGAATCATGATTATTATTGTAAAAATCGGGCTCTGGCGCTTGGTCGAATTTTTGTACTTATAAACAATTAGAATAACTTTGTGAATATTCAACCAAATCAAATTTTTTAAAATAGGTTTTAAAAGTTCTTGGAAAGAAGCTTCTTAAAAAAAAAACAGATCGATTGGTCAATTAATTACGTAGTTATAGCCGATCAAAGTTAACCGTCATTTACACTAAATGTACTGGGACATCCGGGCTAATTTTTAGAAAAATACCTATGGTATTCCGAGTACTTACCAGGCCTAAGTTTGCAATAGTTTTCTTCATTTTAGAATATTTAAATAAATTTGTTTTTGATCTTTGATAAACAGTATATCAGTTTATGCACTTACCTTTGATATAATAAAAAAAATATGTTGATAATTAAAGGAAGTTTAAAGATTCGAATTATTAACGATAGGCATTTGAAAATACGCTTTTGTTTTTTTTTTTAACTCGCGAGACAACGATTTAAAAAAAAATCATCAAAATCGGACCTTTAGAAGCTGAGATATTAAAAATTTTTAAGGGCGTCGCGGTTTTGAACTCGTCGATTCAATTTCGAGCAGGCCGAAGCAGCCGCGCTCTGTGCTTCCTCCATCACCACCACCCGTACGATTTTCTTGAATTTCTCGTTTGCATAAATAACTTTAGACGCGTTTTAAAGTAGGTTGCCAATGAAGAAAAGTATTGCAAACTTAGACCTGGTTGATAAGTACTCGGAATACCAAAGGTATTTTTTGAAAAATCAGCCCGGATGTCCCAGTACATTTAGTGTAAATGACGGTTAACTTTGATCGGTTATAACTACGTAACTAATTGACCAATCGATCTGTTTTTTTTTTAAAGAAGCGTCTTTCCAATAACTTTTAAAACCTGCTTTAAAAAATTTGATTTGATTCAATATTCACAAAGTTATTCTAATTGTTTATAACTACAAAATTTCGACCAATGTTTAAACAAGCGCCAGAGCTTTAGTAATTGACAGATTCGAATTTTTCGAAAAGCGTTTAAAAGCTTGAGAGCCCTTCTATACGTGATTAAATTTTCAAGTATCTAAGGGCCTTGGTTTTTGCTGTGCAAAATTTTGAAAATTTGCATTTTTTTTTCAAAATCTGGATTGCAAAATTATTAAGCAAAATCTATAGAACCGATTTTGATGAAATTTGGTGTGATGATTCTACATAACATGAAGTTTTCTTGGGCCAAATATGAAGGTCCCATACCCTATTTAAAGACCGCAAAAAAAATCCCTAAAAAGTAATGATTTTTAACCCTATTTTTGGCGATTTTTTCGATTTTTACAATAATAATCATGATTCATTCGATTTGTGATTAGTCATATTTTATAAAAAATTAAATTGCAAACATTTTTTTCCTCTTCCATTTTGGCTTAAAATCAACTCTTGAAAAGATACATAATTAAATAAGAAAAATATGACATTTTTCGAATTTTTTTAACATATTGTGCCGCCAAAAGTTAAGCCCACGTTTTTTAGGCGCATTTTCATTTCTAGTGATATTTGAAAGCCAAAAAGTCAAAAATCTCCGTGGATATACGATTTACCCAAACCAAAACAGATACCGCCTAGTCTATCACGGAAGCTTGCAAAGCAAGCTAATAATATTAATACTTATAATTTAAGGAATGCAAAGACGAAGAAACTGGAATAATAGGAAAGTGCTGCAGAGATCCCAATTACAAGGACCCATGGCCATCCGCGAATTTGGTTAATGGTGTGGATGATGGACAGTATAAGGAGGACAACTTGTATGGCCAGCGTCAAGATATTTTCTCAACGAATAGACTGATAAGGTCTTCTAATGGCACAAGGACGAACGTTAAGCGAAACTCAGGTCCCTCTCAAGGAAGTCAGCCATCTTGTGGGGAGCGACACAAGGTATTCTTACGAAATCCCAAACAGTAATATATACGTTCTTCATTTGCTTTATTCAATTTATATTTATATTCCAGAATACAAAACCTCCGGGTCCGGGACCAATAGATGCCAACTTTTCCGAATATCCATGGCAAGCTATGATCTTGAGAGATTCAAATCGTAGTTTACTTTGTGGAGGAGCGATTATCAGAAGGAATGCTGTTTTAACAGCAGCCCATTGCGTAGAAGGGTGAGAATAACTGAACTATTATTAGAGAAACTGATACAACAAGCAGAAAGTCGCGAAATTACCTACCGTATTATAAATACCTTATATAGTAAATCGAGAAAATGCAAAATGAAATAAGTGTAGTAAAGTGAAACAGTGATATAATGTATTTAGCCATGCTCTTTTCGCCATAACGTAGGCCATTTGTTTTTTGCTAGCTTAGCTTACGCCCTGTTGTCATATCACATCAGGTGGATTGATTTGTGATATTATGTAGTTTACCTTAACTAGGTCAGTATCAGAGATGATTGACACTGAGAATCACAAACCAAACACAGTATTTTAAAATAGTAGTAACAAATACCTTTTATTCAAAACTTGAAGTGATTAAAAAAGAACATTTTAAAGTAATAACAGTAAACAATTATTTTGCAACATAAATTAAATTTACTCAACAAACCATTTCAGAATGAAACGTCATGCGTCAGTTGTGAAGATTATATTATAGGTGGTACAGTGCCGGCCCTTTGAAAGTGGACGACTCTTATAAGCAAATTGTCTATAATTGGCCTTTGTGAAGCTGACTTGAAAATGTGAGGTTCAAATCGGCTGTCATTATGTCAAATTTAATGTGTCTCTATCATACTAGTTCTAGTGAGCAAAACAAATCCAAATTAGGTAGCAAATTATTTATTTTTCCAATATTGAAATATATTATACATTCTAACAGCCATTCATTCGCCGTCAACGAGATCTAAAAATGAAACACTTTTCGTCGTCAAAAAAACGCGATTCGTAAAGTTAGTATTTTGCACAAGCACCATTTTTGTCTATAACACTGCAATCTACATGGCATTGATAAAATTAATGTTCTTGTTATAATCGTCAGTTGTTATCACATGCGTTTTCAATTGCCTCCCAAAGTTCTTCGACGTTAACTGGACGGAAGTTTCTGTCGTAAATTTTTTTCACCATATATCCCCAGGACTTTGAGGGCCAAGGTAAAACATCGATGTTGTTATCAATGAACCATTCTGACGTAACTCTTGAGGTGTGAATTGCACAATTATTCTGCTTGAAAGTGAAAATCTGAGAATACAGCATGGTCACAACAAACATCAGGACTTTGGCAGCTTATCTAAACCCAAACGTTAATGGAGAATCTATCGCTGCGCTGTGTGGGTTTCACATAAGGCTCCGAATACCTTATAATCTCTGGTGGGTAGACACGGACAGAAGCATTGGAACAAGACTGAAAACTTTTTTTGTCCGAAAATATAATATTCTCCCAGAAGTTGTCTGGGCTTCATACAAATTGTCTTGCAATCTCTAACCTCTGTTCTTTATACTGGGGAGTCAAAGCAACTGTATTTGCGGCCACATAATTCTTCAGCTCCGAATCTTTCACCCGCTTCCTTGCAGTTCGCACTGATCCAGGAAAATTCGTCTCAAAGGAAGCCGCTACTGCCATGTCAAAAGGATTTATTCTTAGGTGGTGCTTACTTTTCGACGTCCACCTCTATGAACATAACGTACGTGACCCTCCACAATCCATTTTTTATCGACAAATTACTAATGACACTGACATATAAAAACTTGTCATAATAAGAGTAGACCACATCACATTAGAAAAATAAATCGTCCACTTTCAAAGGGCCGGCAGTGTACTAGATTAGTAAGAAATTTTTTTTTCTAGCCTGGATACTTCGGATGTGTTGATCAAGGGCGGAGAGTGGAAACTGGGTATCGACGAAGAGCCCCTGCCTTTCCAAATAGTTAAAGTCGGGGCAATTTTGAGGCATCCTGATTACGTGCCCGGTTCATATAAAAACGACTTGGCCGTATTGGTGTTAAGGGAGAACTTGAGGCCCTCGAAAAACGTTGGAACGATTTGTCTGCCGGAGGCTAACCAGATCTCGACGACGGATTGCGTTGCGACCGGTTGGGGTAAAAGGATTTTACAATGTGAGTTTTTAAGAATATAAACTAGAATAGTTAATACAGGGTGTTAATGAACTTACGTCAAATATTTTTGCCACATGTTCGTTATGTCAAAATGAGGTAAATACACGGATTTGTGTTGAGTAAAGTGTAATTTTAAAATCTGACTTACCTCAACATTGCAAGGAGCCACCTTTTGAGAACTGCTGATTTTCATATATGTTCGAAGTACCCCCCATTTGCTTGCACACAAGCTTCAGCGCGACGTATCCAATTCGCTCGCGCGCGTTGCGAGATTGCCACGTCCCGTCCTCTCGAATCGTATTACAAGCTTCAGCAATACGATGTCGCAGTTGGCAGATGTCACGAACTTCCCTGAAATACACACCACTTTGGGTGCATCTAACTAGGCCTATCCAACGATTTGGAAAAGTAATGTTTAGAAAGTAACCACATATTTTTCCGAACATTTCATGGCACGTCTTCAAATAACTCCGGCAAACGATTTTGCAAAAAATCTAGTTATGAAGCACCGTCTAAGCGTCTAGGCCATTCAAAAGGTCCTATTAAAGTGTCATTAACGACACCGGACCACATGTTCACTGAAAACTGTTGCTGAAAGGCACCGCGACGTATTCCGTGTGGCTTTTCGATAGTCCAGTGGTGAGTGTTGAGGACGTTACGTACACCATTTCGACTGAAACCTGCTTCATCTGTAACTAGTATTTGCGCTATAAATTGAGGATTTCTTGCATGTTCCTGAAGCAACGATTCGCAAAAACTTCGACGTAGAGGAAACCCTCAGGAGTAAGCGTTTAAACACGTTGAATATGAAATGGGTACAACTGAGCTTCTCGCAAACTCCGCCACACAACAGGATGTGAAATATTTACTGGCTGTGTGATATTTCTAGTGCTACGATGGGGATCTTCTTTGACGAGATCTAAAATCATCTCCTCGACATTTAAGATTCTTAGTGGTCGCCCTGGGCCACTATCGCGATATCGACGCGGTTGTACTTCACCCATGTCCAAAACTCTTTGCGCTACAGCAACAAAAATGTTCGCGGTGCGGGGGCACGTCGTTCAGGATATCTTGCACGGTACACTTGACAAGTTCTGTGGGCATTTTCTTTTGCTTCGCCATAAATTATGGGCATATCATAATATTCGCCACTTCTAAATAAAGGCGTCATTTTCAAAAGAAACTTGGAAATACGGCTATTAAATGTACTCTCGAAAAACAGCACAGCAATCACTACAACAATGTATTATAAACTGACTTTCAAATACAGTCCGGCTTCATAAGAAACCTACAAACTCGTAAAACGTGTTACAGAATTTTTTGTAAGTACTCGCCGCGATAAAATACATGTATTTCAGCAGTTCCAAAACAGTTTTAAACACATTTTTAATTGGCTTTTTTCTCTATGACCTTAAACTTCCGATACAAGTTTGTGACATCAGTTAACTCAGTTTTTGCTCCTTCTTCACCCCTTTTAAATTTTTGACATAAATTCATTTGCAACACCCTGTACATCAAGTACGCGAGTCTCCTCAACAAATATCGTACGGACTGTAACTGCGGTTTGGTATTTTGGCAAGAAATGAAGTTAACCTGATTTGCCCGAATTTATTAAATCAGCGCACCGTATTTATGGGATAGGTTTGGATTGAATTAACATCTCCAGCGTCGTAGCGGGGGCGGCTGCCAGGGGCGCAAACCGCAAGGGGGTGCACTCGCAGCCTGCGGGCTGATGGGGCACAGACACATTAAGGGGGGGGCAAAATTCAAACCTTGCCCTGAGCGCCTATGACCTTAGCTACGACACTGAACCTCTCTGTCTGTCCAGTTATTTTGTCTCACAAGTTAGTCTATAGATCTCAGCAGTTTAGAAGATATACATATATCAATAGTAATAATTTAAATAAGTGTGACCGTACATTTCTGAATCATTATTTAATTTAAACAGAAATTTGAGGTAAAATTTGTAGTTATTGGGGGAGCCGCCTTAACCCAAACCAAAAGATCTTTTGCGAGATCTGTCAAGTGGCTGACTATAATGATGAGTTTATAAAAAGGTCTTAGTTCTAACATAGACATCGTCTTTGCCCTAAGAAGATAAACCTACAGATTTCAATGTGCACCTTTATAAAAATCCTAATCTAGTCCTAAGGAGGTCTTAAGACTCGACCTTGAACGCGCCTATCTCTTAACATCTTAGGACTAAGACTGCGCAAAGGTCTGTCATTCGATGACCAACTATTAAGGTTAGTTTAAGATGGATTTTCTGTAAACGAAGTAAAATTATTAGAATTGAGACTAAAACTAGGGTTAAGATGAAGGTTAAGGCCTAACATAAGAAAACTCAAGCTGACTATGCTATGGTTGGTTTATAAGAAAGTATTAGTCCTAACTTAGCCGTAACTTAACCTTAATCTTAGTCCTAAAAAGTTAGATGTGCAGAATGTAATGTATTGGTTTATAAAAATCTTAACATTGCCCTAGCTCTATACTATACATTACATTTTGTATATTTAACTTTTTAGGACTAAGATTAAGGTTAAGTTACGGCTAAGTTAGGACTAGTACTTTTTTATAAACCTACCATTAGAGATGTGGTGTTGGTCGCCAAAAAAACCCTAGGTAATCTTGCAAACTGTACAGTTAATGTTAATATTTGTCCTAAATAATTTACGAGTTAATAAAAACTAATAGTCATTTCTGATCTCTTGTCTTAAAAATGTAAAATTTTGAGATAACTCAGACGTCAAAGTGGCTTAATTTAGTGGTTGTTAATAAGTTAAAAAATATCTTAGGGCTATCGAAACAATTTTTTTGTGGTAGTGCAGTTTATCACCAACAATAAATTTACTAGACTCGAAAATAAAATAACTAAAAGAGTCATTCTATATATATTCACTAAAGAAAATAACATTGAGTTTGAATAACATTTCGATGAGTTGAACCACTCCCTCAATATTTTCGCTTAGAATTTTATTATTTAATACAACATCAACGTTAAACGTAAATAAATAATTCCATAAAATATATTGGACGTGGCTGAAAAAAATAAAAATCCTACGTTTTGCTTCACGAGATAAACAATTTACTTAGTTTTTCTTTCAGATTCACAATTCATGTATACCTAATTATAATTTATGTATTTCAGTACACGCTAAGGGTGCAATAATGCATCACATAGACGTGAACGTATTGGACTCACAGCAATGTCAACAAACACTTCAGCAAAACTTCCAAAGTTCCATTGACAATTATGGGCCTCGTACCATCTGCGGCACCTCCGACATTGACCACTGCAAGGTACGAAAAACCCATTGAAATAGTACAGAAAATTAAATTTAACTTTTGATACCTTTAGCAGACGAACATTTACTATTTTTTCAAATGAAATTCAAATAGGTGTTAGAGTGTATCATTGGTTTTCTAAGCTACGCTATCAGATGAATCAAAGTAAGGACTGATATTGATGGAGCTGACGATTGTCCACAAATTTTGAAGTTTGTAAACCGTCAGGACTCTTTGAGCCTCCTGGCCGCGGGCTGCCTAACTTCTAAAACTGTGAACAATGTTAACAATGAGTTTTTAGAAATTTTTTAAATATAAAGCAGGTAAAATTGAAGATTTCCCGATAATATAGAAAAAAAAAAATAGGTTAAGATGTCACGGACTCGATTATCGAGAAAAGTTGAATGGCAAAAATGGTATCTAGATATCTTGATTCGATTGAGAGATACAGGGTGTTATTCGATTTTGGTCGTTTTCCCTGATGCCCCATAATATTTGAGTTTTGTAAGGAGTTACAGTTTTTAAGAAGAATTAAGCGAGATATTTATGCGTAACTCCCATTTTTTTATCGATATACATATTTCATTTTTTAAAAGGAATATTCTATAAATGATGATTCAGTCATAATGTCATTAATTTAAAGGGACGTTAGGAAAACATGAGTAGACAACGAAACCACGATTAAAAAAAATTTAAAATGCACATTTACGCTGAAAAAAAAATCAAATAATTATTTAAACCCCTTTTGGGACCGCTGCTGACCCACAAAGGTTTATCAAAACTTAATCTTGACCTACCGTATTATTCGGTCATTAACCTAGCTTTTACTGCATTTTTAATTCGTAGTGAATGATAAGAACAAAACAGACACCTAGACACATATCTAGACACATGAATAAATAAGATATTTTTTTTTTTAATTTTACATATTTATTTGTTAATAAAAACAAATATATAACGATAATAATAGTTGTCGAATGTTAGGTTAATTCAGTATTTTTAATATTGTTAATGTGTTCACTGTGCAATTAATTATTTAGTTTGTAGTAAGTACCTACTTATTTAAAATACCAGTACGGCTAAAAAACACTCATTCGTCCATAGCACTCTGTTAATAAGGTTGGGATTCGCTGCACTTATGAAACCAATTGCAAAGTTCAAGACGATTGGGGAAATTAGCTGTTTCGCTTCAACGTTCGAACGCTCTGGATAAATGGGAGTTCAGGGGTAATTTGCTCATTTTTTAAAAGTCGAGTAATTTTTTTTTCAATTTTCTGTCTACCTTCTGAATACATTATGACTGAACCATCCTGTATATTTTCGACTTCTAAAATCTGCGTAAAAGTTAATTTCAGAATCACACACAATGTTTGTATCAAAACATATCTTTTTTTATAAATCAATTGTTTCTTTACATAATTCAGTGTACCGTTTCCTATGTTTTGTGTCAAGAAATGGATGGATAAGAAAGAAAATATATCTGTTACTTTGAAACGGATCTGAAAAATCCAAAAAACATGTAAAGTATTCCATTTTAAAAAAATCACAAGTTTGTAAAAAACTGTAAGAACTGGAAAATTATAGCGTATTCCACTGTAATCTACGAAAAAGGTATTTAAAAAGTCTACAAAAATCAAATGTTTTCAAAAACAAGATATACAGGGTGTTAAAAAAGAGTGTAAAATATTTAAGGAGGTAATGTTGACGCTTATCCAAATCGCCAGATTCCTTCATAACGCATATTTGGAAGAATTCATCAAATATTGCGTGATACCGGTTCCTTGAGCAAACAGTGCCATTTATCCGGAAGACCAAGGTCAGTATCCACTCCTAGAGCAGAAGAAGAAATTCTAGCACTGGTAGAGCAGAATCCAGGTACGAGTGTGCGGAGAATATCAGCCGAGATAGGAATTAGTGGTCCTCTTGAATCCTTCACGAGCAACTGCTTTATCCATACCATGTATGTGCAACGAGTACAGGTCTTAAATCCAATAAATGATCATCAATCACGTTTGGTTTTTTGCCGCTGGTTTCTACGTCATGATGCTGAAGACCCTCGTTTTCTTGTAAACATTCTTTTTACTGATGAGGCCGGGTTCACAAGAAATGGAGTGTTTAATTTTCACAATACGCATATTTGGGCCGACGAAAATCCTCATGCTCTAATAGAATCTGGACATCAGGCACGTTTTTCATTAAACATTTGGATGGGTATTGTAGGTGACAGGTTTCTAGGTCCTGTTGTTTTACCAAACCGATTAACAGGCGCTGCTTACCTCAACTTTCTGCAGAACACACTGTATGAGTTTTTGGAAGACATTCCTTTGAATCAGAGGCAACAAATGTGGTTCCAGCATGATGGTGCTCCAGCTCATTTTTCCATGGCCGTTAGAGAGCATTTACACCAAACTTTTCCACATAGATGGGTAGGAAGGGCCGGACCTGTTTTATGGCCTCCAAGATCGCCTGATCTGAACCCTCTAGATTTCTTTGTTTGGGGATATTTGAAGACATTAGTGTATGGTACTCCTGTAAATAGCCTGGAAGAGCTGCAGCTACGGATTAATCAAAAGTGTCAAGAAATCCAAACCAAGGAGGGTGTTTTCGAAAGAGTTCGAATATCGTTGAGACGAAGATGTCGTGCCTGCTTGGAAATGGACGGAGGGCACTTTGAACATCTTCTGTAACTTTGTTTTTTGTTTGTTAAAAGCTTCCTTTGTCGGTTTATTCCTAATAAAATAAAATGTTTGAAAAACGAATAGTGGTCCATATCTCCGCAACCGTTACTTTGCGGACCCATGTTTATTAAGACTTTTCTGCTTATTTTGGTTCATACTATTACCTCCTGAAATATTTTACACTGTTTTTTTAACACCCTGTATAGAAAACGGCCAAAACTGAAAGACGCCCTATATATATCTTAAACGCGTTAAGATTTTTAGAAGTAATTTTCATATAATTTTCTCGAAAATCGAGCCCATGAAATAAACTACTCTTTTTTGTTTCTTGGGGAAATAGGACAAATCCTCGAAAGCGTCGAACTTGCCCACCCTGTACATATAATATACCCATTGTTATTTCTGTAGGTCGACTATGGAAGTGCTCTGGCTTGCCCCAACAGCCAAGGACACTATACTTTAACTGGTATATACGCATGGGACACGGGATGTAAAGAGGAAGGCCAAATTGGTGGTTATGTTACTCCAGACGTGGAATGGATCGAATCTACATTGGCAAAATCGATCAAGGAACTCAAAAAGATAGAAAGGGAATATTTGCTCAATGCTAGAAAATAATTGTAATTTCCACGAAAATAATTTTCAAAAATATTTAGAAACACATACTTTCTATTTTTTTACCGAAATCTCGTTATTTGAAAGAAAATATTACCTACCTTAAGCTTAATTGAATTGTATATAAAAATATGTGATAGTCAGTTATTTTGTATGTAACAAAACTCATTTGTCTTTAATTTATTAAAAGAAACTAAGAATGCCAGTACACGTTTTGTATCTATTTAATGTTAAAGCTGCCATATAATAGTAGATAAATTTTGTACCATACAATTGTGTATAGATAATAAAATTTTTATAGAAACTTTTTGTATGTTAACTAGCTAAAATTTATTAGTTTACTGTGAAGATTAGGCTATAGTATTTATGTTTTAATATAATAAAGTTATTTTAAATAAATTTTATTTGTCTACTTTTATGTTAGGGAACAAAGAAGAATGCATAGGTAAGCGTACAAATGTATGAGGTCTGTTCAGAAAATAACACATTTTTTTAAATTACGCCCTAATTTATTTATTGAATTTTTACACTGTTGATCAGATACTGCCTAATTATAGAACAGGGATTTTACAGACAATAATGAAAATAAGTACCTACATTAAATACAAACAAAATTAAAAGGAACAAAAAAATACAGAACATCATAAAAAGGAAGGAAATACTCGTAAATAAAATCTATACACTAGATAATACGCATAAATGAAGATTAAAATTACATATCTAAAACTGTGAGATATTAAAAATAAAGTATTTTCAAGTTATTAAGGTTGTAGTTAAAAATATCTACAGAATTTTTATTACAGTTGTCACTTTCATAAAGTGGTGAGTGTTTGAGTACATTAACACGAGGAATTAGTAAATAAAACGTTCCGTTTTCTCTAGAGCTAGGTCTAGGATAGAAAATGATAATTTTGTTGTAAATTCCTGGCAATTAGCCAAATTACGTAAAATTTTAAAAAGAAAGACCTGCAAAAAGTATTTCCATCTAGTTTCAAGGTTAATAAAGGAATGCCTACTTAAAAGGTCCTCATGCGGATATCCGACATGTGGATAGTAGCCATCGGATTTAAAATTTAAAAAATCGACGCTGAATCGATTCCAGTTTATTAATGTGGGCAGCACTGTGTGGAGACCAAACAGGAGAGGCATATTCAAGTTTTGATCTAACTAAATAGAGATGATGAGTAGTTGACATAGTATTGTTATGCATAACCTGTTCTTGGATTGTTGATATCTCATTTAGTTTTCGTGATATTGTTATTTGAGTGTAACGTGTTTAAGACGATTTAGAGAAAATGTGCGATTTTCTGGAACAAAGATGCAACGTAAAATTTTAAGTATTTAAACCTGGGAAAAATTTTCACGGAAACATTTCAACTTTAGAAATAAGCTTACAGAGATGTTGCTCTGAGTCGTACGCGATGTTACGAATGGTTTTCATGATTTAAAAGTGGTCTTCCATTTCAACTGATGACTCGCACAAGTTCAGAAAATCAAAGATCTGGTGCGTGTCAATCGCTAACTGACTGTCAGAGGAATTGCAGAAAGAGTTAGCATATCAATTGGGTAAAATGTTGCCTGAAAAATTGAACATACATCGAGTTGTAGCAAAATTTGTTATGGCTTACACATTGAGACAAAAGTTCAATCATCACAATGGAGTGGCAAAGAATCTCCACGTGCCAAGAAAGTACGTCGGTCTCGATCCAATGTTACAGTGATGTTCACTGTTTTCTTCGACTTTAATTGTGCATTTTGAATTTTTGCATCAAGATGAACGTTGTATACCATCAAGGCGTAACGGTTATGTGAAAAAAAATCCACAAAAAACTCAATTTTTCACCGATCTTTCCAATATTTTTTGCGAAGCTCCGCAGACGTCGCGATTGTCACCAGAATCGTCCCAGAGACATCCACGATAATGCGGACAAGCGTGCGACCGAGCGCTACGTGCCTCCAACCAATAAGAGACAGAAATTCGCAGATGTATTGAAAAATTTCACCAATATGTTTCTAAAATTTACCCCCTAAAATTTTAAAATTTACTCAAGCCACCCAGATGCGACGATTGCTGCCAAGAGTTCTCCATTCCCTCGGACGACGACGACAACGGTATGCCACTATCTCCCTAACATCGCCGAAGAGCGCAAAGAGCGTCAAAATTGTTCGCTCCACTTTCTAAAACGGGACGAAAATAACAACACCTTAGGGACTTTAAATTCACACCCCTAAATGACTATATGATTGGTATTAACCCATTTCAACTTCTCAGAGTGGGCCGTATTCACCGAAGCAGTTTTTCCGGTTCCAAAATTTCTGGAACTAAACCGAACCATAACATTATTAACCAGAACACGAATGCCTGAATTATAAGTAGAGCAGAATTATAAGTAGAGAGCGGACAATGTGTGACTTTAATCCGAAGAATAGGTTAAATTTTGGTAGAGATGTGTACGCGTTCAAAAGTGTATTGTGTATAAACTATGCAAAATATAATTATTATGTATAGCAAATATATCGTATTATCCTCGCGAAGATTTGTACCCTTTATTTAAAATCCATACATCATGTGAACAGGTTAAATAACGAGAATATAATTAAGTTAATTTAGTTCTAAAGAAATGAAATGACACTCGCGCCCATCTCTAGTCCATCCGTCGACATCGGTTGCGTTTATCGAATTCCTATTGGTCAGAATTCAAACTGCAGCCCTGTTATGAATGGAGCGTGAGTTGGACTATTCTATCATGTGCGTCGCCTGTGGCTATTCGTTACATCGACTCCTAATTTCCAATTAAAAGAACGACACTATTTTTAATCGAACTTTATTTAATAAATATGTAGTATACAATTTCTGATTTTCTAAATATTTTATAACGCCTAAAAATGTATGTACCGTGGAATTTTCGTGAATTATCACGTAAATTTCCGATGCATACCCGACACGCCACTGCGTCATGGGTAATGTATCTAGGTTTATGAATGACATATCTACGTTCAAGGTTAAAGTCACAAATTGTCCGCTCTCTGATTATAAGAGTTTACGACCCCCTCTCAACATGCTAAGGGGTCAACTCTACCGCAAGCTAGTCAGACCTAAGTGGCTCTATACAGTCACTGTAGTCAGACCGAACAAAATCCGCGTCTTGGCGCCCAACATGGGTCTATATTGCCAAATAAGCCAATAACTTACCTATATCCGCGATACTAACTCGTTATGACATTTTAAGGTTATATCATTCATTTCGTATCTATATATTTTCCCTTTTTAATACCTGAAGTAGTTTGTATCCACAATATCATTAATTAAAACTTTGTTTCGCGTAGTGCTCTTGCTTTCATACCACCTGCAGATTAGCAGGATGCTCTTTGCCAGTTTGACCAATTGCAATGATCATTAATGATGTATAAAACTTTATACATACATACCTAATTTTCTTCATGAATAAAAAAAATTAAGCACATATATTAATCTTGTATTTGTTATTCATTCTGATATTGATTTTGTTACGTTATAGATATATCTGTTCAATTAGGTTCAGTAATAATTTATTTTTGTCCAGATAAAACATTTACCGAAAAATAAATTAATTCAAATGAAATGTAGAAAACTGTTCACTGGCATTGAAATACAGTAGTTTTAGTAGAAAGTCACTATACACAAAAAATATTAATTAAAAATAAACGCCAAAGAGTTTCTCTGAACGCAGTAATCTCATAAATGCGTAAATAAATACTTACCTGTAAAATGGTAGCTGATAATTTGTATTTGACTAGAGAGTATCGTTATTTTTCACAAAATAGTGTCTCACCATGGTTTATCGTAAACAAATTGTAAAAAAAAATGTTTTTTGTGAACTTTGAACGCCATTTTGAAATTGAAGCCCAAAAACTCCGGTAGTTCATTGAATTCTACAAAATTTTTCCTAATTTTTACATATTTTCAATTACTGAACTATTTTTTGGCACTTGAGTAATTTGATTGGACAGACTCCTGCGCATTTCGGGAGAGTTGGGAACCGTAGTAAAGCCAAATGTACCCAATTTACAACAATTCTGCAAATAACCGGCCAACGTGAAATTTTTTTATTTTTTCTTGTATTAAGGTGGTGGTTACACTGGATGCAAATTCGGTCGAAAAATATGCACCTATGTATGCAAATATAGGAAGTCTTAACAAATTATTTGTACGAATAGTGATTTCACGACTTTGTTGTTAAAGTTTAATAAAATTAAATTTGATTCAGATTCAAGTATGAAGAATGTTTATTAAGAATTATTTTATGGCAAAGGAGAAAAAAATTCACTTTTTTCATTTAAACAATACCCATTTTTTTTTAAGGGAATACGATGAGAAAAACAAATAATTCATCTTAGGTCAGAATATGTAAAGGGACAAGTTCCGAAAAATTTTTATGAACGAGTACATGGAATAATTGGATGGATTGGTCTCGAGGAGGTATGTCTGCAGAAAAAACTAGGTTTAAGAAATGAAATGATCATTAAAAACCATATTATTTAATTACAATACATACAAACAATTCAAAAAACAATTTATGCTCAGCCGATCAACCCGCTCAACAATTTCATTTTACTTTTAAGAACGATTTGTATCTCTTTATTCGCGACGTTATAACTATCGAGGATATTCTGAAAAACGTTCTGACCTGAATTCAAATTCAACGCCTCGAATTTGCTTTTGATGTCCTCGATCGTGTTCAAGTCTATCCAATTTTGTAAAATATCACAAATTGCACTGGTCTCGGTTCTCAATTTACTCGCCACTTTCCCTAACAACTCTTTACTTTTCACCGAATCCGACGATCTCCTCCTACCTTTTTTGCCTTGAGGCGGTTTCACTAGTTCGTTACAAAGGAGGCATATCAACGAACATACACTGACGATCTGAAAGAAAGAAAGTCAACTGATTAACAGGTTCACTATGACTGTAAACGAACTGATAATATATTTAGTTAGACATATCATTTTTTATTTTTATTTTGGATAATAATTGGTTGGAGAATAAGTATGTCCGTTTTCTCCAAATTTAACGAAAATTAAACGACACATTGACACATTATTCAAAAGAGGACTTATTGCTCTATCAGATTGTTTTTGGTTGCTTTATTAGATTTAATTTTTGTGAATGTTCATTCATTTGAAATGAAATGTCAAGTTGATAAGTCTGGCAACGCTGTCGAAAATGATTAAAACGAAGCATGTTCGTGCTTCAGACAGTTGTGTCTGTGTCATCATGAATATGATAACACGTGCTCGTCGAGTAGACGCGTTTTCAGAATGAAAATTAATTCTCTTAATGCAAATTGGTTGCCTGACTTATGCCGACCCCTGTATTTCACATTTTTTTATTACTCTTAAAACAAAAAAGTTAAAGGGGGGTCAAAATATAGTGAATCGCCCTGTACAATAACATATTAGTTTCCACAGTCATAAAAATAGGGGGAAGATTGTTTACAGGGTGGTTAATTGTATAATTTTTACGTAAATTCACGTTTTTCGTTTATAACTTTTTCCGTTCATTTCAAAAATATTGATTAGATCAAAAGTCATAAACAGAAGAAATTTATTTATGACTTTTGAATTAAACATTTATAAACTGCGTTATTATTACCAGAACGTTTTGGCATCGCATCCTCTCATTCCTTATCACTGTCTAATAACTCACACGAAATCTGGAATCTGTATGTTGAATAGTTTAAAAGTTATGACCTTATAAACAAATTAATTAATTATTAGTCTGGATGATCCCGAGGCTCTTCCACAATCGCACTGATTTTTTTCATAATAATACATTGAAATCTATCATTTTTTTCAATTTCAAATTTGCAACTTGGAAATTGTATTTATTTTTCAGCCTTAGTTGCAAAATGAAATAAGCGACGCACGCGCGTGATATAGTTGTACGTTATTACATATTCGGAAAGCGTATGAAGAGCTTTAAGTTAAAAGAAATCGTCGAGATCCGTTGAAAAACAACGGAGTTACAGACTGTCAAAGTTGACGGACTATTGTTACACAAATTAGGTTGGTAGCGGCAAAAAATACTGTCATAACTGGCAACCCCAGTACTTTCCCAGATAAATAGCTGTTTATGATATACGTGTTAAAAGTAAGATTTTATTTTGTGAGTGAAGATGATTAAATAACGAGCGTAGCGAGTTTTTTAACTTCATGAACAAAATAAAATCACTTTTAACACGTATATCATACACTATTTTTTCTACAAAATTGTTAAAAGTGGGATTTTTAATTGTCATTTTTGATGTTAAAAATGTCATTTTTTGACACGCGTGTTAAAAGTAAGTTACTTTTAACACTAGTGTTCGTGAAGTTAAAAAACTCGCTACGCTCGTTTTTTAATCATCTTCACTCACAAAATAAAATCTTACTTTTAACACGTATATCATAAATAGCTATTATTTGTGGAAGTATGTTAAGTGCATAAGAAATATTGTCAAGTCAGTGGGTTGCTTGATTTTCGGCGAGCCGTGGCGCGGGAGAAGGGTGGGGGAAGCGAACGACAGCGAGTTCGAAGAAAATGACGATAATATTCATATTCCTGCCGTTAAATAAGTGAAATTTGCTTGAAAATAATATATTTGACAGTCTGTAACTCCATTGTTTTTCAATTAATCTTGACTATTTTTTTTAACTTAAAGCTCTTTTCATAAGCTTTCCGAATATATAATAATATACAACTATATCACGCGTGTGCGATGTATGGCTAAAAAATAAAAAAAATTCCAGGTTGCAAATTTGAAATTAAAAAAGAAAATTATAGATTACAATGTATTATTATATTGTTTATAAGGCCATAACTTGTAAACTATTCAACTTACCGATTCCAGATTTCGTGTTTCGAGTTATTAGACAGTAATAAGGAATGAGAGGATGCCAAAACGTTCTGGTAATAATAACGCAGTTTATAAATGTTTAATTCAAAAGTCATAAATAAACATATTCTGGTTATAACTTTTGATATAATCAATATTTTTTTACTAGTTTTGAAGGTCTTTTCAAGACGAAAAAAAAGTACTTTACTGTTTTCTCGTGGAAATGAACGGAAAAAAGTTATAAGCGAAAAACATGAATTTACGTAAAAATTATACAATTAACCAGCCTGTAAACAATCTGCCCCCCATTTTTATGACTGTGGAAGCTAATATGTTATTGTACATAATATTTAGCATCTATAGTGATAAAAGTCGCGCCCAACTCTATATTTCCTGGCCTAATTGATCATTTTCGGTACCTGCTTCTTTTTGTTTTTAATTGAGCTGGGGAAACGCTAAAACTGTTTAAGCTGCTATGGAAAATTGTGCCATATTATGATGATGTGATGAACGAATGGTGGTTTTCCTGCTTTATAGGTAATTTCAACCTTAAAGACATGAACACCCTTTGAATTTGACAAAGAGCAATTGAACCGACTTCTTCACGAAAATCCAAGATAATCAACAAGGGAATTGGCTCAGGAGATGGAATTTGATCATAAAACCGTAGTAAACCTCCTACATTCGATGGGAAAAGTTCAAAAGTTCAAAGCTCTGTCATCTCTGACATGGTGTGTGTACGTGAATTTGAAACAGCAGAAAGAATGGTTAATCCCTAAAAAACAATCAACTTGCGGAAAAGACCAGAACTTCATCCTCGAAAGACAATGTTATGCGTCTGGTGAGATTGGAAAGGGATTGTTTGCATTAATAAAAACAGCAGTATCATAGTTAGGTACAGTTTTTTTACCCTACATTCTAAAAAAAAATGAAATCGTCCAAAAAATTAAGAAGTTACAGGCTTGTATCTCATTTAAGCACGACATCATGGAGTGCTCGCCTGAAAATGTATCGAATTTGATGAAACTTTGCGATAAGATGTTTTAAGGCATGCTGAATGAGAATATGTAATCTGTTTTTTGGAAAAAAACCACTAATATAAATTAACTGTTTTGACGTCAAAAAAATGCATCCTAGTTGGCCGTGAATTGCATTAATAAAAACAGGAGTATCACAGTTAAATAGTTTTTTTACCCTACATTTTTAAAAAAAATGAAGTCGTCCAAAAAATGAAGAAGTTACAGGCTTGTATCTCATTTAAGCGTGACATCATGGAGTTCTCGCCTGAAGATGTATCGAATTTGATGAAACTTGGTGATAAGACGTTTTAAGGCATGCTGAATGAGAATACATAATCTGTTTTTTGGAAAAAAAACACTAATATAAATTAACTGTTTTGACGTCAGAAAACCGCATATTAGTTGGCCCTCTATCGCATTAATAAAAAAAATATCGCCAAAAATATAAAGAAGTTACAGGCTTGTATCACATTTAAGCATGACACCCTGTATACAGGGTGTTTTACTTAAAGTCGGAACACGTCCGTATTCAGGATGGCGTTGGCCGATTCAAAAATTTTTTTTTATATGATAGTACTCAAAAAGACCTACTCTTTGATATTAACACTTGACATATGATCTTTTCTACGGCCAACTATCATTAAGACCCTCAAAAATTTCCATTTCCAAGATATTAATATTTTAATAAAAAAAATGACATTGTCGGTGTTACACTTGATCGGTGCTAACATACTCGTTTTTTGAGATACAATCTAAACAATCGTCACAGGTAATGTACTAGTTTCATCGTAAATTCTGAAGTGGTCACTGTTTATAAATGTCATACAGTGTTCACAAAATCGTACCAAATGAATTTCACAAGAGAAGCCGAGTCTATCTTGACGAAATTTATCCTGATAGATTGATTCGTCAAGGTGGGCCATTGTCATAGCCTCCTACATCATGTGACCTTACACCACTTGACTTTTTTTTGTGGGGGTTTGTAAAAGACATGGTATATAGAGAGCCACCAACTACACGTGACGATATGATAAATAGAATAAGACAAGCTTGTCTTCATATTGCACCAGAAATGTTACACGGCGTTTACACGAATTAACTTGTGTATTCAAGAAAAAGGAAAATTTTTTTTTAACATCTATTGTAACACTTAATAAAATTTTGTTTTATCAATAAATATATATTTTACTATCAAAAGATGTCTTGTTCACTAAAAATTCAATAAGGATAAGAAAGCTGCATTGTTCTTTTCTGCAAAAAGTAAAGATACATTTTAAGCAATGCTTTTTTGTTTAAAATCCTTAACCCTATATATAGTTCCGTCGTAAATGTAATAAAAAATTAAAGAAATAGCAAAAAATATAGTAAAATATGAGGAACTGATACACAGGGTGAGTTTTTCCGATGTTTAATGTGGGGATCTAGGAAAGTAGAGATACAAAAAAACTTAAATGAGGAAAGATGTGCAGTTTTATGATCCTTACTACATATTGATTTTATTTAAAAAAAAAAAACGTTATGACTGACTAGATATTTGGAAAAGTACGAATTCAGCCAATTCTTTCAGATGCGTGTAGCTATTTATATTCCGTTGCTATTTATTTTACAAAAAAAATTGTATTACAAAGTTTCAGGTTTTTGCAGTGTTAATAAGACAATGTGATCAAATTGTTCATGTATATTTTCATTTTCAAGTTATAATATAAACTTCAAGTTTTTTAAATGTAAACCATAGTTAGCTATGAGCTAGAAAAAAATGTCTTTTTTATGCTTTCCAACGATATAATATTTGGTATTGTTAGTTTGAAAAATGGAAGAATTGCAGCTGTTTTTAACTTTTCAATTGTTCGTTGACGAAGATGACTGTGAAAATTATACGCAATACAACAAATAAAATCAGAACAATTCAAGTCGGCATTGCATGCGCATTTCTTTCTGTGTCAGGGCATCGGAGCAGTGTGCGACTGACATATTTTAAATTAAACAATAATAATAAGTATTAAACAATAATAATAAATGGATTTATTTTCATAAAGAATTTAAATTATAATGTTGGAAATCATTTAACAGACGGAAAAAATACCAGAATTTTATGAACAAACCATTATTTGCTTTATTATTATTAACGAAATTGTTAAAAAAAAACACCGTTATTATGAATGCACAAAATACATCTTTTTGAAACAGAATTTGAGGTTTTTCTCACAGAACATGTATCAACATTGTCAAAAGCTTCCTGAACGAATGTACTCAATATCACGCGTTTCTTTGTTTGAAAAATTCATTGTCTTTGGCAATTAAAACGACTTTTAAGAAAGAAAAGTAACTGCCAAATAATGCTATAGCAACTAAAAGCGTTGTCAGCAAATATTTCAATTGTTTTCACAGCCACTTACGTCAACAAGCAATTGAAAAGTTAAAAACGGCTGCAGTTCTCCCATTTTTTCAAAATAACAATACCAAATATTATATCGTTGGAAAGCATAAAAAAGACAATTTCCTCTAGCTCATAGCTAACTACGGTTTATATTTAAAAAACTTGAAAATTAAAGTGTATACAAACAATTTGATCACACTATCTTATTAACACTGCAGAAACCTGAAACTTTGTAATTTAAAAAATTTTTGTAAAATAAATAGCAACGGAGCTATACGCATCTGAAGGAATTGCCCGAATTCGGATTTTTTCAAATATCGAGTCAGCCATGCGGTTTTTCAAAAAATAAAAGTAGCATTTAATAAGGATCATAAAACTGCACATCTTTCCTCATTTAAGTTTTTTTGTATTTCTGATACTGTCCCAGATCCTTACACTAAACATCGAAAAAAACTCACCCTGTATAACACTTATTATAAAAGTTGTAAATTTTGAGAAGGTCTTTCACATCCCATTAAAAAATACAGGGTGTTTGAAAAAAATAAAATTTTTGCCTTTGAAAAAGATAACACTTGTTACAATTTTGTGAACACCCTGTATGACATTTATAAACAGTGACCAGTTCAGAATTTTCGGCGAACCTCGTACAAGTATGATGATTGCTTATCTCAAAAAACGAGTATCAGCAAAGATCAAATGTAACGCCGAAAATATCATTTTTCATATTAAAATATTAATATCTCAGAAACGGCTGGTTTTTGACGCATAGTACCTATTTCAAAAAAGTTGCATAATTCCATGTAAAATATAAATATCCACTCAAATACAGGGTGTTCCATTTAAAAAAATACAACTTTGGTGAGCCCCCTGAAAACAAATCACCCTGTATAAGTGAAATCTTTTTTAAAACGTGCACTTCTTGCCCCCCCGTCCGAACCTATTTTGAAATATTTTGCTTAAATTATATTCTAGCGATAAATCAACTTTGCCGCAGCGTTGACCCACCCTATATATTTCTATTAAACATAAGGTTAATATTTATTAAAACAGATTGAAAGCCACCAATAACATCTAAAAACTATTTAAAAAAATGCTAGCAAAATTCAGGGAAATTTTATGCTGCTAAATACAGAAGTGTAACATAGGGCATAAATAGCATATACAGCAGATCATATATTAAGCGAACTACAACTACAAGTGACTGACTCACCTCCACGCAATTCACTACCAGCTCCATCGATTTCCGCTTATCCTGAAAATCATTCGATTTTCCCAACGTGTTATCCTTGACGAACTTGGCTAAGCGACCGAGCTCTTCTTCTATGTCCTTGGTACACGTCGAACTCCTCTCGAAATCTTCTATGCTAAGACTAATTAGAAATTCAAAAAAGGTACTAATTGTGGACAGGTACGGAGCTTCTATCGCACCGTGCAGTCTAGAGGGTAGCGGCAACGTAACTATATTCTAAAACGATAAGAGTCGTCAAAAAAAAGATGACGTTACAACAGAGATTCTATCTGCTTACTTGATTAATTGGTACGAAATTGTCGGACACCGTTTGGTCGTGTAACCTTCTCCATTCACCGAGGGTGCTTTTCAAGCTATCTAGGTGTTTCTGACGGGTGCCGTCCAACGATTTGATTATGTCAATGGCGGATGATATACCCCATAAAACTGAGGTTCTTAATTTTAAAAATCTTACATCTTGTTCAAACAACTCCCTCACTTCTTTCCACTCTTCGGGAGGGCTGTTTATCCTCTCCGGATCCCAACAAATATATACGCTAAGATCATGATTGTCTCTAAAATTGAGTTTTACCAAGTTTAAAAGAAACTCATATAAAGTAATACTTTAAATAGTATAAATAATTTTCAAATTGTAAAAAGCAAATGAAATAGAATTATCGTTATATTCAGAACCAACCAAGTGCTAATCTAGTCTTTAAACCAATCACAAGCAAAGCTTTGTGACAAATGCTTGAATGGTTCAAGACAAATAAATAAAAAGATTGTCATTACCACCAGTTATAAAATGCTAATCTAGACATTAAACCAATCACCAGTCAGTTTCAAGTTCAAATTTGAAGCAAAACAATTTTTAAAAAATGTGTCATATTTTCAGCCAATCATAAAGTGCCGATTTAGCTGTTTAACCAATCACATGACAGTATGTGAAAAATACTCGTTTGGTTGAAGGCAAAATATATAAAAGGACTATCCTTATAATCAGTTATAAAGACTAATATAAATTTTAAACCAGTCACAGAACATTTTCAATTGGATTGAAGCCAGATAATTTTAAAAAATTGTAACTGCATTTACAACCAATTGTAAAGTGCTAATTTAGACATTAAACCAATCACAGGTCAATTTGTGACAAATGCTCGATTGATTCAAGGCAAAATAAATAATATAATTATCAATACAACCAGTCGTAAAACACTAATCGAGACTTTAAACCAATCAGGTCAGTTTGAGAGAAATACTTGATTATATCAAAGGAAAATAATCATCAGTCTAAACTAACCACAGGTCAGCTTCATTCACAAATGCTTCATTCTATCAAATGAAGATAAATAAAAAAATTGTCACTATATCCGAAATCAATGATAAAGTAACAAATTAAACTTCAGAGGTCAGTCAAAAGGTCAATTTTTAACAAATGTTATTCTTTCATAACAAAATTAATAACAGAGTTTAATTTCATAACCCATCACAAAGCACTAATCCAAATTAAAACCAAACATAGATCAGTTTGTGACAAATGTTACATTCTTTCAAGACAAAATAATAGAACTGTAAATGCATTCACAACCAATAATAAAGCGTTAATCTAGATTTTAAACCAATCACAGCACAGCACAGTTTGTGACAAATGCTCGATTGGTTCAAAGTTAAAAAATATAATTATCACTACAACTAGTCACAAAACGCTAATTTAGACTAAACCAATCATAGGACAGTTCCAATTAGATCTGGGCAAGATAAACAAAAGAATTATTATATTTACAATCAATCCTAAAGTACAACTCTAAACCTTAAACCAATCATAAATCAGTTTGTGACAAATGCTCAATTCTATCAGAGCAAAATAAACAAAGGAATTGTCACGATATTCACTACCAATCATTAAACTAGTAACAGATACTACACTACTTCAAAACAAAATAACAAAAGAATTTTTATTATATTCGCAACTAATTAAACTTTAGAGGTCAGTCAACAAATCAGTTTGTGAAAAATGCTCGAATCCTTCAAAATAAAATAAACAACATGTTGCTACATTCATACCAATCACAAAGCAATAATCTAAATTTAAAACTAAACCCAATCAGTTTACAGACATATTGGCTATTGATTATAGGATTTTAAAAAGAACTATGACGTTCAAAATATTTTATTAGATGAATCGTTGAAATGGTCATTTTAGATGAAAAAGCCACGGAGCGCTATTAAATTAGAGGGTGGAAATTGGAGATAGGGGTGGAAATGCACACCTTTCAGTTTTTTAATTGTAGTTCGAAAACAAAGCAAAATTTCGGTACAGTTCATAGGAAAAATTATTTAGAGAATTGAATTTCCCATTAAAATGGCTTAATTAAAAAATATAAAAGGAAAATTTTATGCAAGAAATCGTTAATAAACAATATTAAAAAAAGCAAAGAATTTGATTTTTTAATTTTTTTACTTTTTTGCCTCTTTTTTTTGAGTATAAATAGGTACAGGTATTGCTTCATAAAAAAAAGTAGATAAAATTTCCTTCAAAAGAAGAGGTTGTACAATATTTTTGGATGAGAATTGACTGATATATGGCTGCTCAAACAGCCAATTTTTCGATTTTCGTCGCGTTTACCCATAACGTTTCAATTCTCATTTTTTGCAAAAAACGAAAAATTCGTTCCAAGTATTTTCATCATATGACCTGTTCGAAGGGCCATTAAAAATGAAAAAACCATGGGGTGCTATTAAATTAGAGGGTTGAAATTGAAGGTAGGGGTGAAAATGCACATTTGCAGTTTTTTAAATATAGCACGCAAACCAAGCAAAATTTCTGTACAGTTCATAGGAAAAATTTTGTAGAGGATTGAATTTCCAATGGAAATGGCTTATTTAAAAAATTTAAATTTAAACAATTTTTTAAAAAGTAAAAAATAACGTTTTTTGATTTTTTTTACTTTTTTGACTATGTTTTGTCTACTTCTACTAGTGAAAAAAAGTAAATAAAATAAAAAAATATCATTTTTTACTGTTTTAAAATTGTTTATTAACGATTTTTTTTGCATATTTTTCTTTTATGCAAAAATGAAAGTAAAATAAACAAATAAGTTTTCACAATAGAGCTTTTCGGAAACTATGATCATGTTAACACAATCAGTAGGATCACTGGACCTTATCATTTGGAAAGTAAAGCAGTTTATGAAAGTATTAAGACATTGTCTGAAGTTATATACATTTGTGTTATGGTTTTCGTTTTTTTTTCTTTATTTTTTGAGTATTTATTGCTAAAAAAATTAAATAGTAAAAAATAAAAACTAAAATTAAAAAAATTAAAATTAAAATTAAAAATAAACAAAATTAAAAAAAAAAATAAAAAATTAAGAATACAAAAATAAATTCAAAAAATAAATAATAAATAAAAACAGGAAAAAATAAAATATTAAAAATTAGGAAAAACATTAAAATAAATTAAAAAGAAATTAAAAAAATAAAGAAAAAAAACTAAAATCAGATAATATCTTAACATAAGATATGGGCTTAATAATTTCAAAATTTATAGATCGGTATTTAGAATCAATCAATACAAAGCCAGTTTATGAAAAGAAAAAAGATGTTAATGTTAAATTTTACATCTGTCATGTCCTTTGGTATACAAAAATACTTGTCAGGAATTAGATACTTATATTTATTTTTTTCCCAGTAATGGTAACATTTTAAAAAAACAAAATATAGTTTAAAAACTCGCTTTTACATTGATGGCTTTTAAGTTCCAAAGTAAGCAATGGCTCAAAGCTATACTACCAAAAATATTTTCTTACCTTAAAGATTCCCATTCAATCTTATTATCTCTGGGTGATATGTCTAAATTATACAACGATTCAAGTGTCGAACATTCCACTAAACTTAATATTATCCTATCGACGGCGACTGTCGTGTAATGCAAACTGTTGTTCAACCTTTCCCTGAAGTCCATGAATTCATCCAGTTTTAAGAAGGACCCGAATTTATACGAAAACGTTAAATGATCTGAACTCTACAAGACAAAGTTATAATGATATTAAAACAATTGGATTATTAAATTTCTGTGACTTTTTCTCGCTCTACATATGTTTAACTCTCAAAATGAAATACTTACATCTTTATAATTCGAAGAGAAAAACTTCAGAGTGATATCAAATAGGCTTGTGCACAAAGAGAACAACCCCGTAGTCGGTAATCGAGCACAGTGCACATACCCTAAGGAATCTAACTGTAAATGCTTTACTTCTAAACTATTATATACTGTGTGGGCTGTGACACCGCTACCTAAAAATTGGGGACTTTAATCCAACTGAAATGTTTATAAAAATAACATTTTTAATAGTAAACATAAATTTACTAATAAAAGTTTCAATGTTTTCAACTAGAAGGAGCCCCAAAAGTATCACAGGATTTGAATTATGCGTCATTTTGTAGTTGGCAGCACTGTGCAGGACCACATGTTATAGTAAACACGTTGCTTCATTCGGAGAGTTCCTTCTACCAAAAATTCTACGTAATTTGCACACAGTCTCAGCTACACACTCTCTATACTTGCAAAAAAAATCTTCACTCGCTCATCCGTCATATAACGCTATATTTTATCTAACTGCAACGTGTTTACTACAACATGTGATTCTGCACAATGCTGCCAAATCTTCGTAATGAAAATGATGCACAATTCAAATCCTGTGTTACTTTTGGAACACACTTTATAAAGAAATAATGACTCACCCAGTGTATGGTACAATCGCAGGGCAAGCAATTTGGCATGAAAATTACTGGGAGAATTCTTTAGAAGATTTTCGAGCAAGATCAATGCTATAATGATAGAATCCGACTTCTTTTCGATTAAGGCCAAATCATACAAAACGTGAGCGGCCATTATTGCATACGGATCCGATGGTCCCAAATCTGTCGACAGTAAGTTTTTGCCGTATGTCTGGTAGCCGTGTTGATAATGAAGCGAGAGTGCCGTTATTAAGGCTTTTAGGTGGTCGGAGGACAGATTTATGTGACTCCCGCAAAGTCGAGACAACTGAAGGGCACAAATGTGGCGCTGCATTTGTTGGTCCTAAAAAAGGGAGGATATATTTTAGTTGTTTTTTAACTAATAATATTGTGGGAAACAACTACTCCACGGGCTATATGCCCTGGCTAGTTTTCAAGAAAAAAATTGTTCAAAATTCTAACCTGGTCATTTCACATAACAATATGCACTACATTGTATGCTTTAGCTTTTAGAACATCTGTAAGGAATAATCAACATTGTTTAAGAAACACATTTTCGCAAATTTTATGTAAAAAAATATGTATTTAACAAATAAAAATGTCGGACAAACACAGATGAATGAGAGTGGCAGATATCAGAAATTGCAAATGGCGGATTGAAGCAAGAAATAATGTTTGTAAACTGAAAAATTAAACGATAAATAAGCAAAGAGATATACTTCAGTTTAAGTTTTGTCGTATTTCCAAAACAATGTCCACAATTTGCCAAATATATTGCACTGTATAAGTAAAATACCTAAGATGAATTTAGATACAATATGGCGCAATGCGAGGCGCAATAGGTTGACGTTTAGCAGCTTAGCTCCCGATGATACATTATAAATCAAAGTATATATAAATAGCAATACTGTGCGTTCTTTATTTTAATATAATTTGATAAGATCATAGGAAATATTTGATAAAATGAATACCTACTTATATTTTGTATCTTTTTCTTAACAATTTTATTTATATTGAAAATGGTCGATAACTGTCAAGCGTGCAGTGAATTGCTTGTACAAGTACAAATTTGAACATAAAGCCTAGTATACAGTGTGTCCAAGATAAGGAAATGCTAACAGTAGAATCTAGGAAACGGTAAGAGATACGGTGTAGCTCAAATTAGAAAAAAGTTGTGTTTTTTTATACCTAACAATATGCCATTTAGAAAGTTTTAAAATTCCAAGTAATTCCGGAGATATCCGAAAAAGCCCGAAATTTTGCAAAATATTTTATTTTTTTTCTGGATTTATTTCAAAAGGAATTTTAAAATAAATTGCATATTTACATTGTCACTTTTTTCGCACTTTCAAAATATCTATTGGAGGAAGTCACAATAGTATAAATGTCAATACAGCACAAAATATCCAATGATTTTTTTTTAATCAATAATTCAAAAAAGTTGTACCTAATAAAAAAATAATACGAATTTAAGAAATGTTTTATTATTTGTTTCTAATTAATACTGCCAATAGTAGTAAAAAAAATTGTTGGATATTTTGTACTGTACTGACTTTTATACTATTACGACTTCCTCCAATAGATATTTTGAAAGCGTTCAGAGCCGTACTAAGGAAAAATTTTAAATGATAGCTAAAACAAGCTAAAAACCTTTTTACTCGATTACAATAGTACTTAATATCATCTAATTCAGAATTAAAAATGACTAGATTTTGTCATAAAAATAGCAGCGACAATTTAAAAAAATTTACATGATGGTGGCTCCTCGAAGACGAAACGTCAGATTGCAAAAATGTTGATGTCATTGGATAGAGCAAAAAAAGTGGTCATGTAAATATGCAATTTATTTTAAAATTCGTTTTTAAATAATGCCAGAAGGAAAATAACTAATTACCCAGAATTTTAAAACTTTCTAAACAGCACATTGCTAGGTATAAAAAAACATAACTTTTTTCTAATTTGAACCACTCCGTTTGTGTTACTGTTTCCTAGATTCAAATGCTATCCCATTCTTATCTTGGACACTATATAGCAAATGATAGATGAAACCCTACCACCTCATATCTGTATCTCTTGTACCGTCTCCTAATTATTTGATCCAGCAGACTGCAGATGCAAACAGTGACCGGTGTACGATGTTGACTCTTAAGAAAGATTCGTACACAAATACTACCTATCTCTATTGGATTGTTATTTTTGGATCACAGTAACTTCGTGATCTAGAGGGATAAGGAGATTACCGAATAGTAATCTTTAAAAATTAAAAACCAAACCCAAACTATTGCTCAAGCAACACTAAATTGAAACCGTGCTGCTTTTCCAACATACTCCATCGATAAAAACGTGCGAGAATTTGTTCCGATCTTTTAGAGTAGTAATTTCAATACAATTGACAAAGAACGCCTTGGTCAACCAAAAAATTCAAAGATAAGGAACTGAAAGCATTACTCCACCAAGATTCATGTCAAAAGTATGATGAACTTGCTGAATCGTTGAATTTAGATTGCACAACAGTTCCCGAACGTTCAAATGCACTAGGTACGATTCAAAGGCCAGGAAATGGGGTGCCATACGAATTGAAGCCGAGAGATGTTGAACAGCAATTTTTCACGTGAATAATTGTTTTAAAGGCAAAAAATAAAGGGTTTTTTGCATCTTATCATCAGTCGATGAAAACTAGAGAAGCTATGTTAATCCTAAACGTAGGAAATCGTGGAATTCAACATCAACGTCGCCAGCAATACCGAATATTCAAAGTTCAAAGCTTCTGCTCCGCATTTGATGAGACCAGATCTGTGTTGTGTACTAAACTGCTTCAACTGAATGAAACCATCACTGGTGAAGGTTACTGAACCCAATTGATGCATTGCATAATTTAAGCAAAGGTACAATAAAGTAATTTTTCAACATGACAACACTCGATCACAAGTTGCTCATGAAGTCCAAAAATAGTTAGAAATGCTGAAGTACGATATTTTAGTTCACCCATCATATTCATCAATCAGATTATTACTTGTTCCAATCCATGGAACACAGCCTGACTAAGCAACGCTTCCAATCTTATTGTACACAATTTTTCACAAGCCTCGAATTTACAAAAAAATCCCTGTAAAAACAATGTTTTCCGAACTAGAAATATTTCTCTAATTTACAAAAAAATACATACAATTTTTTTTTTATAAATGTACTTACGGTCTGAGGAACACTGGTCGAACTTATTCCCACATCCTTGACCAACCTGGAAGACAGTTCTGTTTTTTTTTCGGCATCCAACAAATTTAAATAAGACCTTAAGTCTGAAACGCAACATGGTTTGTGTCCGAATTTTCGAAAGTACTCGATAAACAATTCGGTTGTGTCCCCTAGAAGGTCCGTACTGTTGAGCTCTTTTTCGCAAAGTCTCTTACACAGTTCGAAACGTGCCAAGTAGGGACCTCTGAGCAAAAAACCTACAAGATGTTTTCAATTAGTTCAGTAACTAGGTAAAGTTGATAACGTACCATTATCTACGCCATTTTCCACTACTCTACAAATAAATTCATGAGCTTTTTCAGGAGTATCATCGATGGTTTCCAAATCATTCTCATTAGCTTCGTGATTTTCATGATTATTTATTTTATTTTCTACAGACATTAACTCAAATACTGAATTTAAATATTCGTTCCAAATATCCCATCTATCTACACTGTAAAATGTTATAATTTTATCAAAATACCTTCCTATTGATATTTAAAAAGATTATTTCATTCATAAAGGAACTTACTGCTCTACTAGGACTCCTTTGCACAACAAATTAATTTCCTCCCACCGTTTCAATTTTTTCAGATATTTCAATCTATTCTGTGGGATATTACTGCATTGCAAATGTGAACCAAGCGGTCCATCTAGTACCGCTACAATTTCCTCAAATTTTTCCAGAAGTTCGAGAATCATGATGTACAACTGGACTTCCTGCTCTGCATCAATCTTATTTTCTTTTATTAACTTGTCGAACATCCTTTGGGCAAGATTTAGAAGCAGTATACGTTTAACTGGGTCTTTCGCACCCAAACCTCTTGTCGCCTGTAAGACTATACTCATGACAGCCCAACAATAGTACGGGTTTTTTGGTTTGTTCTTATATAGAGTCATCGCGCTCTGCTGTTGAGATTTGAAATCACCGATTCTCACATAAGACATGAAGAGGTGTGTATGAAGTTCCTCATTGCTTGGGTCCAGTTTCACTGCGGTTTCGTAAAGTTTGCAGATTTTTTCCACTAAAAATTTAATAACAATAAAAAATTAGTAAACTTATAAAACGCAGGGACCTACATTCTTGCTTCTCTCGGTAACATAAAGTCATAGCCTGCAAAGTAGCATCATCTGTGGGTTGCTCTTTTGTTAAAGCATCTAAAATGTTTTGGCTCTCAACTTCCTTCCCCATACGATGGAGAGTAAAAGCCTTGAGGGCTTTGGCACAATGGAGATTAGGAGTTTTCTTCAAAACTTTGTCACATTCTTGTAGAGCTTTTTTGTTGTTACCACTATCTAGCCAATCTACAATGAAATTAAACACATAATTAAGTGATTCAGTGCGAAAACATTAAATTATTGAAAAATTGGCACAATACATAACCTAAAAAAAGATATGGATTTTTTAATTCTTCCTTATAATTTTGTAATTAACTGAAATTAAATATATTCAGTTATAACAATACGCACCGTATATTGGCCTTAGTCGTCTCTCTGCCACGGAATTGTCTTGATGCACGTGTAAATTCGACGAAGGCCTAGACATTTTTTCGGAACTTAAATATTAGGTTATGTTACTACAATTAACCACCTTAGACAATCACGTACCTAGACGGAAAATGAGATAAAGATGCACTATGAATTTTATCCACAACAGAAAGAGGTCGCTGTCAGAGATTTATTTACTCCCAACTCCCAACACTAATTAGATATGTATGTTATTTTTATTTATTAGCTACTGTGCTTTGGTGTTACTTTAATATATTAAACCAATTAATAGTTAATATAAATTATAAATATAAATTAACTATATAACTATATCCATTGAAAGCATTCTTATTATTTTGGCAAACGATATTTTTTAAATGCTTACACATTTTTAGCTATATATATATATATTTCTTTTTTTCGAAAATTTATAATAATTCCATCAAGAGGAAATGGTAGATATAAGAAAGTTAGCGCTGACTTTTAGAGGCGTTTGGAAGTTATAGGAACTACTTAGGTCGATATTAGGTAGATATGCTTTTTTTGCAGTGCAATACTACCAATACCATTATTTTAACTAAAATAAATTTGCATCAAAATTTCGTCTTAAAATTGTAGGAAGTACAACACAAACAGTTTAAAAATATTTTAAAAATATTAATAAAACATTTAATTTAAGTATGACTATATTATTTTGAGGTCTACTGGAAAACCATTTAACATCCATACACCCGAACTGAAAATGGACGTCCAATGAATATTGTGTGCGATGCGGTCTGATAGACCTATAATCAAATAAAATGTAAAATAGATTATCAACTTTGAATTGTAACAAAGTTAATAATGATAACGTTACAAATTAACGTTTCATATTTAGTCGGAGACAACCCTGTATAAGATGTTTGTACACTTTCCACATCTTTTAATTTAATTGTAAGATGTTAATTTGAGACACAAAATATAGTTAATGCATATAGTTTTTTAAAGTTATTTTTTGTTGCAGAATTTTAAATGCTTATACGTTCAGTTCTATATAATGGAAAACGTTTTTACGAAGAGGTTTAATGTAATAAAACGTAGCAAAAAAGATCGGAACAATATCATTAATAAAAGGTTAAAAAGAAAAAAAAAAGTATGCCGAAACCAGGGATCGAACCAGGGACCTTTAGATCTTCAGTCTAACGCTCTCCCAACTGAGCTATTTCGGCTGTTGCAATGAAACGTACTAGGTATCGAAGACAATTTGTAGATTACTATAATTTTTTTTTTATTAGAATAGGTATTAATAAAGAGACATTAATATAATTCTAATAATCTTCAGTCTAACACTCTCCCAACTCAGCTATTTTGACTGTTGCATCAGATTTTCCTAGGTGCTAGAATATATTTTTAATTAGAATAACACTGATAATGAGATACATATAGATAGGTATAATTATTATTTATTTACAAATTTAATCCCACTAACGTAATTCAATTTTTTATTATTATTTTTTTTAACCACCAACAGCATGCAGTCAAATACTATGACATCATTTTCTATATCGTTCCATTCTATTCTCGTTTTTAACGTCGACTAACAGTTGCCATAAGAAAATACTCTACGACGAGGGGATGTTGTCAACATCGAAGATAACGTTAAAGAAATCGGCCCCGGCTGGCCCTAGAATTTTTTGATAGTATACAGGGTGTTTCATTTCCGGTGTGCCAAACGAACGCAGACGACAGAGAAAGTAATTGTGAGCAAAAAGTTCATATCGACATGTGTTCGAAAATGCTTCCTGTGGCGCTATGTCCCTATAAAGGGGGCCATTACGACACAATTTTATTACCTACAATATCTCGAAAATGCTTCGAAAGAAATTGATAAAATTTTATACAGAGGCAGGTACCATTTATACGAGGAATTATTTTATCTAAACTAAATTGACACTTTGTATTCAGGGGCGTCCCTACAGGGGACAAGCCAAGGTTCAAAATCCGTAACTTTCTTTATTTGTCAAATTCGTAATTCTTTTTTCGAAATTTGAAATCCTTGACCATTTCTACATAAAAAAGATATACTTATGTACTTGTTTCATGTAGGTAAAATAGAATTCTGGGTTCTTTATAATTTTTAATTTTCAGTAGAAGCATAAGAAGATAAAATCGGCTTTTTCTGGAAAACTGGTGCAGATATCGTAATGAAACAAATATGGTCAAGGATTTCGATTTTCGAAAAAAGAATTGCGTATTTGACAAATAAAAAAGTTAGGATTTTAAACCTTGGCTTACCCCCCGTAGGGACGCCCCTGAAAACAATGTGTCAATTTGGTTTATATAAAGTAATTCCTCGTAATGGTACCTCTATATAAAATTTTATCATTTTCGAGATATTGTAATAAAATTGTGGGCCCCCTTTAAAGGGGCGAAGCGCCGCAGGGGGTCGTTTTATAACCCATGTCGATATGAACTTTTTTACTCAAAATTACTTTCTCTATCATCTGTGTTCATTTGGCACACCGTGTTTGATCGATTTGATTTCTGTAAAATTGTATTAAGTGTATGCATGCGCGTTCCCACAATATAGATGATTACTGCTCCAGTCAATGTCGATAAAAATCCTTCAGAATTATTAAATGAAATAAAATATGCTATGGAGATGATTCGACGTCCTATCTCCCATTAAATGAATTTTTTTAGTCTCTAATGAACATCATACAGTTAAATATTTATTTGTATTTATATTAAAATGAGAAGGTGCAATGCGAAATTGGATTCTACTACCAAAGCTACCGGAAGAGGGCTCATTTTCTTTGTAAGATTATATTAATATTAGCTTTATTTCTCTTTAGAATGTAACGAAGTGGAGTGAAACACAATAAATAGAACCACGAACAAATAATGACGCCATTGACGCCTTTAGGAGAAAGAAAATGGGATGCCTGAAAGCTGCGAAGATATTTAGTGTGCCCAAAATCAACTTTAGAAGATTACCTACGCAAAGAAAGATAATGGGATACAAGGTCAATAGGGAGGAAGTCACTACTACCAGATGATGTAGACCAAGAAAGACAACGGTCTTTAAAAGACAAGTCAATGTCGAAGTTAGCTTCTGCATTAACAAAGAAAGGGAAAGTGATTCTTCGGAAAATGGAGGAAACCCTCATGTCGATGACGATTCAGCTATTTTGCAATGGCCTCTTTTCTGACGATGCTCATGGGGAAATGGATTGAACTAATTCAATGAACTGTTTTCGATGGGCACGTGAAGAGTGTGCTAAGAGTGACAATAATAAAGCGTATATATGTGATGTTTGTGTCCATAAATCTTTTATAAATTTTATATTATCTAGAAATGGTCTCGTAATTTCCGATAGGATATCCTAATTTTGGATATTCTATCCGAAATAAAGGCGTCATATCAAAATATAAGTAATTTATAAAAGCTATCCGTACTTAGGCTACTTTCAACCTCTACCTTCCTCAATAAAAAGCTATCATCTTGTGCGTCTATAAGAAATTTGTTGATGTAATCTCTTAAAAAAAAAACGATTTTTTGGCTGTGTGTCCAACGTGCTTCTGTTTTATAAAAGCAGTGATATTTGCTAATGTCTTTACTTTCGTAGATATACGTTCAACATAGATTTGAGCATTGAAGCTGCACTCACGCAGTCGAAGACATTCGTGCCTAAATAACGTTTTACCTATTGCAATTCCTTAACGTATTACCACTAGTTTCGTAAAAAAATAAGCTAAGAAAACTTTGTTCGAGTTTGTTTCTAAAGCATTTTCTGTCTGCCAAGTTTTGAATAACGAATATTTTTTGGAAATATCTTTAAATTTTAGCAGAAATCATCCCCAATAATGCAGTTTCGACTTTAAGTCGAATATTTTCTGGCAAAGACTCATGTTCTATACGCATTCCATAGAGGAAAAAAATCATACAAGTGAACTCTTGTGTATGAAGGAAGTTATCTGTGATCAACAACTATCCACGACAACCAACATTCACAACCAATACTTGAATGTTTGACTTTTAAAACAAAAAAATTAAAAAATTCAATATTTCGCTCACTTGTAATATAATAGGTATATTAATTTACCCAGTCTTATCCTTAACTACCTTTTCACAACTTCAACTAGGTAGGGGAAAGGGAGGTAAGTTGACGAATCTAAGGCTTTTTGGGTCGCAAAATTGTTATTTATGAAAAAGTAGGCATGCATTGCATTTAAACTTTAATTTATAACATAATTAAAACGGTTGACAAGAAAACATTTAAAAATATATATATATTTTAACATAAGGAAATGCATTTTAAAAATGAACAACCAGTTCGTCATCTTGCCACCTACTGCTGATAAGTTGACGAATTGCTGTGGGTAAGTTGACTAATATTTTAAATTACAAATAGTCTTAAAACCAAAGTTTAAAAATATATTTATTAAGGATAAAATATACAAAACAGGAATATAACACGCTAATTAGCTTTATAAAAGAAAATCTAATAATAATAATTAACAAAACAAAACGAAATATAACATTTACTCCAGTTATTTAAATAGGTAATTATGCACAAAAGTCACAAATCCATGTTTTAGCTTTAGCTTCTTTAGGATTCAAAGTGGTACATTGTGAATGCGCCCAGCCCCGACATTTTGAGCATTGGAACCAAAGTTCATTATCCTTACCCATATCACTGCAGATTATGCACAGCTTATCATCTTCTTCGAATTCCAAATCCATATCATCGTCAGTGTCAGCATAGGCTATTTCTGCCGAGGCATCTGAATCAGATGAACAAAATACTTTGCTTTTAATATTATTTACTTTTCGTGTTATTTTTGTTTCTGCCTTATCTATGCCTAGCTTACATTTCTTTTTATCTATCTTAGCCTGTTCTCGAAGTTTTTTCTTTCTTTCTTTTTCAATTTTCTCATCATTTTGTGCTTGTAATGCGTTCTTAACTGGGGTGCTTGAAATTACCAATGAAGGTAATTTTTTTCTTGGACGACTTTTTTTGACTACCTCGAGGCAAGGGTGGAAGACCAAACACTTCTTTAGGACTAGTTGATTTTGAAGTTGAAGCAATGGGTTGCGTTTTCATTGG